AACAAATGGGCCAAGCCATCTGACCAGTTAAGAGGATAGCGACAAGTTGCAACCTGCCCAGATCTGGAGCTGATGGAAGTTGTAGCCTGACAAAGTCGGGCTGTTGGGAGTTATAGCTGGCCCGATGTGGGGCTGATGGGAATGCTCAGAACTAACCACAAAAGGGAAGTAAAGCCTTGCCATGGAGACCAAAATCAATGTGTGGTCAGTGCTTGAGGGACAAAGAAAGAACTGTTTTTTTCTGAATGGTGAAAAATTACACTTTTTTAATCAGATGAGGTGATTGTGAAATGCCCCCCCCCCCACACACACACACACACAGAGTGGACAAGTCTTTCCAAAGGCAGAGAAAGTACAATTCCTGTGAGCATGACAACTTAAGAATGAGTGGGAAATAGCCAGCTGTGATCCCAAGAGGCTACTAGAGCAGGTATGGGTAAACCTAGGTCCAGGGGCCGGATGTGGCCCCTTGGGCTCTTTTTCCAGCCCTCCTCTCTCCCACCATCCTATTCTATCCTATCCTATCCTATCCTTCTTTCCTTCCTCCTTTCCTCCCTCCCTTCCTTACCTTCTTCTTTCTGCCTCCCTTCCACCCTTTTGTCCTTCCTTCCCTCTTTCCTTCCTCCTTCCCTCTCTCTCTCTTTCTTCTTCCTTCCTTTTCCCTTTTGTATTTCCTTTCTTCCCCCTTCCCTCCTCCATTCTCTTCCACCCTTCCTTCTTCCCTCCCTCCTTCCTTCCTGTTCTTCCTCCCTTCTCTTTTTCTTTAATTCTTCCTGAGGGATGTTTAGCTGAGAGAAGAAAAAGTAGAGAAGAAACATGAAGACCATGTTTCAAGATTTAAAAGAGTATCCCATTGAGGAGGGACGGGGGGGAAACTGACTTTCTGCTGCTGTAGAGACCAGGGCACAAGGGAGCAATGGTTTCAAATGGCAGAGAAAGAGATTCAACTGAAAATATTATGAAGAATTTCCTGAGAGTAAGAGCTGTTGTAGAGTGGCATAGGCTGCCTCGGAGTGTGGTGGAGTCTCCTCTGGAGGCTTTTCCGCAAAGGCTGTCTATTGGGAGTGCTTTGATTGTGCCTTCTTGCATGGCAGAGGGTTGGAATGCATGGCCCTTGGGGATTGCTTCCAGCTCTAGGAGTCTAGGATTATTTGTCAGGAGTAGGCAATATGGGGTTTAATGGATACACTTTTTCTCTCCCATCTTTCCTTTACTTTCTGCCTCTGAAAGAGAAGAGAAAGGGGAGGAAAAAGCAGGGAGGGGACTTGGGGAGAACCCCCTCCCTTCTGGCCCTCCATATAGCCTCCAGGTTAAAAAAATTGCCCATGCCTGTACTAGAGGATTGCCATGGACACCTAAATCCACTAGGTCTGGTTAGTACCCGAGGTTCAAAAGAAGCACAGCTTTGTATTTCAGCATGGTAATTTTGTCTCTTTTCTCTTTTATTCTGTGTAATGCCGTTCAAAAACATTCCCATATGACAGGTCCCTCCAAAACCAAATAAAAGTAAATTATTGTGACAATTTGAGACAACCAAAAATGTAAAATAAAGTGTAAACACTTCTTTTAAATAATAAAGGATTATAAAACAAATTGTGGACATTTTTCTTCCTTCTCTCTGATTGAACCATCCCCACAATCATAAGGGTAACAATGACTTCTAATAAGTAGCATTAGAAAATACGTAACCAGGGCAATGCCAGGGCAATGTTCGTACATAAGCTAATATATGCTATGCTATATGTTCCATCCCCATTACTGCAGACAATGTGACTTTCTTTATCAGTGTGCCCGTTACTTGCTAGTAGCCTTTGTGAGAACAAAATGGTGGATCAGATGAGCTTTGGGTCTATTTAAGGTATAGGACGTCTTTAGTAATGTGAACGATTCACTTAAGAAACTTACTATGTTCTTCCTGTTGTGGCCCTTTCAAAATCCCAAGGGTCAGAGAACCTTTTCAATTATTTGTTTTCTGGGCTTTAATAAACATGAAAACACATTACATGTTCCAATAATTCACATTTTCCACAAAAGAACTTTTATGTTTTTTTTTAATCTGCTAAAGTTATTATGTATTGTATTGGACTTCCATGCACTAGATGTTTGCAAGAATATGAAAGGTCAGCAGAAGAATAAAAATAGCTAAACCAGGAAGTTCATTGCAGCTTTCAGGTTTTTTTTTCATAATCTTTGAATATATTTGCACAAGAACAGATGACTTAGTAACCTGAGATACATGTAAATACAGCTTTAGACACTGAGCAATGCTATTAGATAATTTGATACTGATGTGGCAAAAATGCAACCTAAAGCTTTTAAAAATTATTTAAAATTAGGATATGCCATCCTTTTTAACTACCAGTAATTGAAAGTAAGCTGACTCTTTGCTGCTTGCATGAATACTACCTTAAAGGTATACCTCAGTTAACAACACAGCTGTGTTCCCGGGCATCCTTAACAACAACAACAACAACAAAAATGGAAGCAGAAACAACATGGAAAGAATAGGGATAACTTCTGTGCCACACACACACACACACAAAGCAGGTCAACACATTTTAGTGAACTTTCCCACCAAATATAACAATTTGTACATATAAAATGAAACAACCTGTAGAAGCTTTTTAAATCTTTTTTTCAAAATGCATCCTGTCGTTATTCCCAACTTAATCTTTTTCGGTGATTTCCATTTTGGTGGCAAAATGTACAGATCTATGTTTCCTTAAACATAGAGGATGCAACTGCTGAGATAAGTGTATGTCCCCTCTTCTGTTTTACTGTCCACAATTTCTCAGAAAATAATTCTGGAGGCAGCTGCTTGTTTACTTTACTTGCTGTCAGCAGACAAAAATACATGGTAGGATCATTTACAACAGAATCCCGTTATTTTCCAGATCAAGTTTACCATGAAGGACCAAGGGTGCACAGACTGTAGACTTAATGCAGTTTGACACCACTTGAACCTCCATGTCTCAGGGCACATCCAGACAGCCCCTTTAATGTGGGAGTTCCCACAATTAAAAGGGGGCTGTCCAGATGATGTCCCTGAGAAACACAGATTAATAGACTACAAACCAGGAAAGCCAGGAAAATTAATTTGTTAGTGGGTTTATTCTGCACGGGATATACCCACTACTGCTGTTTAAACTGCTCCCTCAAAAGTTCAGTCTCCTGGCGTATCATTCCTACTTGCCAGGAGAGCTCCAGCACCATGCAAGTGGAGGCTGGTAAGTTCTTTTATTTTTTAAAGAGTTTTTGGGGAGGAGGTTAGAGTGTCTGGATGTTCTCCTGGAAAGTTCCAGAGGAACATCTGGATACCCACTTTTTGGGATGTGTGTGGATGAGGACCTGGGAACATTCACATTTTTAAAACGCAAATTTTCTTGGGTTAAAGGGCTGTGTGGAAGCACCCTCAGTGCTGTAGAACCCTGGGACTTATAGTTTGGTGGGACACCAGCATTCATAGCATTAATTCTAAAGTGTTGATGTATCCCTAGAGATTCCTGGAGAGAACATTCATATCAAATATAAATAATAAAGAGAAAAAATGCAAAAAGTAAAACTTGCAAATGGAGAGAGCCAACTGTACAATTTAGGTAATCAAATGGAAAGGCCATAGACAGTTGACAAGATAGTGAAAACACAGTAAACCTAAGTGGTCTAGATCTGAATGGTTTTCGGCGTCTTACTCTTTGCAATGCTAGAAATTACTCTTTGCAATGCTAGACCTAAGTGGTCTAGATCTGAATGGTTTTCAGCGTCTTACTCTTTGCAATGCTAGAAATTTGAGAACTGAAGGAAAACTTCATTAGGAGCAGAATTCTTATGGGGGTAATCACACACACACACACACACACCCTCAGTACCTTGATAAAGAAATGAATCTGGGAGACCATGTGGCCAATCCGAAGCAGGTACTTGCCAGTAGGAATGACCAGGGCAATTATTTCTTTGACTGCCTCATCCTGGGTAGGTCCAGTGACTGAGCCTAGAAGTCCAGGCTCCCTCCCAACCCTTGAAGCCATATCCATGTGCATTATGCTGAGCCTGTAACAAAAGTTGACTGCTCTGTATGTGAAAGAGCTAATGCCTATTTTGTGCATGTGATAGAGCCTATGGCTGATATTAAATAAACTTGTAATTAATTATTTAAAGAGAAAGGAAAGAATAGGGAAAGGAGAAGAGAAGAAAGTGAATCTAGTCCTGTTTCCCTCCATAAAGTTATTAGCTATTAGACTATTCTTGTTGTTGTTCATTCGTTCAGTCGTCTCCGACTCTTCGTGACCTCATGGACCAGCCCATGCCAGAGCTCCCTGTCGGCCGTGACCACCCCCAGCTCCTTCAAGGTCAGTCCAGTCACTTCAAGGATGCCATCCATCCATCTTGCCCTTGGTCGGCCCCTCTTCCTTTTGCCTTCCACTTTCCCCAGCATAATTGTCTTCTCTAGGCTTTCCTGTCTCCTCATGATGTGGCCAAAGTACTTCAACTTTGTCTCTAATCTTTCCCTCCAGTGAGCAGTCGGGCTTTATTTCCTGGAGGATGGACTGGTTGGATCTTCTCGCAGTCCAAGGCACTCTCAGAACTTTCCTCCAACACCACAGCTCAAAAGCATCGATCTTCCTTCGCTCAGCCTTCCCTAAGGTCCAGCTCTCACATCCGTAGGTTACTACAGGGAATACCATGGCTTTGACTAGTCGGATCTTTGTTGCCAGTCTGATGTCTCTACTCTTCACTATTTTATTGAGATTGGACATTGCTCTCCTCCCAAGAAGTAAGCGTCTTCTGATTTCCTGGCTACAGTCTGCATCTGCAGTAATCTTTGCACCTAGAAATACAAAGTCTGTCACGGCCTCCACGGTTTCTCCCTCTATTTTCCAGTAGACTATTCTTATAGTCTTTTATTTAGCTCTTTTCTGTAGCCAAAAAAAGTCCTTCATCCCCGCCTTTTTTCCTCCACCATTTTGTTTCTCAAGATGACACAATTTATAGTCTTAGGAAAAATACGTTTTATTTATTTATTGAATTGAATTGAACGTAACAATCTGAGGAAGATGACCATGCAATATCAGTTGCACCTTCCTGCAAGGAAGCCATCCCCGCTATTGAAGGGCAAAACCTTTCAATAGCCCTTGATCACACCAAGGTGCTGCAACATACTTGGTGCAATGATCCCAAGCATTTCTGTTATGGCATAACAGCTATGTCGGGGTAGGTTGTCTTCTTCTCCCACTATCAGTTTTCTGCAAAAGAAAGGGTTTTTTTTTTACCATCCACTTTATGACATTGTGTGTTTTTAGTAGACTAAAACATAAAAAGGAAAAAAGGAACAATGGCATAGCAGGAGGGTTGAGTTATATTCCTCATCCGAAAATATAGGCCATGAGACATTACACTATCAAAGCATTGCAACATGCTGGTAAATTGCTGCCATTTTTGTCCATCTTCATGTCATGGGACAGCGGCCTCATATGATAAAGTCCTATCATTTTTATCTAGTGTAGCAAAAGTGAGAACTGTGCTGCCCTCAGGATATTTTTGGACTATAGCACCCAGCATTCCTCACCATTGTTTATTCTGGCCATCACTCCTTGGAGTTGCAGTACAATAACATCTGTAGAGCCACATGATTGTCACTACTCTATTGTGGCAAACATGGTATGCTGTGGTTGTTGTGTCTCCTCATAATTTCTGAACTATGGCAACCTTATAACAGTGTTTTCTTGGCAAGATTGGTTCAAAAGAAGCCATTTTCTCCAGTCTTTTAAAATTAGTACAGTAAGGGAAATATGTATGTGTGTTTTTTTGATTCCACTCTCTCAGGCAGTCCCCTGTGTACCTCATCTTTCCTCTGTAAGACTCTTTGCAACACAGCAAGGGAGCCCTGGGATTTGGTGGAAATGCTGTGCAAGAAACAGGAAACTGGCAAAAACAAAACAAAACAAAACCCCAACATCTCCTTGCCTGTTGAGCTGATTGAAAGTTTCTCTAGGTTACAAGGGCTTTATATTAGTGGGGGAATCCCATGGGATTTTGAGTATTTGTCTTTAGATATAACAATATAAATTTCATGTTACTGTCTGAAAACATCAAAAACCATTAAAACAGGTAAGAGGAAAAATATCTTAAAACTGAATCATGATTTAGTGGGTATAGCATGAGGGAAACATCCAGTGAAACATTATGGAATGCTATTAGATGCAGTTGAAAGGCTTTAAACAAATAGGTATCTGAATACACTTGCCACTTAATTGCTAATCTTCTCTATCAAGACAGGAGAGGATGGTGGAGGGATAGGAGTTGGAATGTTCTTCTTCAACCACTTGCCTACCCAAAGCCAGATGTGCAGCAATGATTCTCTAGTACTCAGGAACTGGTGTCAAACTTGTGGCCCTCCAAGTGTTTTGGACTTCAACTCCCAGAATTACTTCTAATTCTAAAAATGATAGACAATCTGAAATAATCCTGATTCCTTTATGAAGTTCCTGCAAGCAATATTCTGGACAGATTCAATGTGAATCCATCTATCAGAGTGTGATGGCGCGCCTGAGCCTTTGGGAAAAACTACAGTGTCTGGCTTTACTCAGGGATTATCTTTATACCTTCTGTTAAGATTAAGATCCTTAGCAGACAGAGGCACTTTAGGCAAGGTGAAAAGATAACCAAAATGAGTTTACTGCAAACATGATGAATAAAGGGTTAACTCCACTTGGGACTATCATAAAGTAACTTAAAACAATACGTTACAAAAGGATTCTTCGCTGGCTGCAGTCATCTCACTGGAGTCTTCTTTCTCTGGTACAAAGTGATGGTTATAAACTGTCCCAATTTTCTTTCTTGTGAAGCATAAGCTTCTGTTGTCCTTTGGGCTGGTGGTATAAAAATACTGCTAAATGCAGGTGCTAAGGATGCCTGTTTTTGGTTTGCTTGGGCCTAGGATACCAGACAATGCCCCATTGTTGTGTTTCAAATAATAATAATAATAATAATAATAATAATAATAATAATAATAATAATAATAATAATATAAATATTTGTACTCCACCACCATCTCCCCAAAGGAACTCAGGATGTCTCACAGAAGCACTCTGAGTGCCACACGCAGACAACAATACATAAGCACAACCACAATGACACAAGAATTTTTTATTTCCTTGTAGTCCCAAACTATTATTTATATATTTGCATGCTCATGGACAATAGCTTCTGGCTGCCACATATCAGACCTGTTGAGAGAGGGGAGAGTACACAACACACAGAATGAGTCATAAGCCAGTTACTGTTTTGAATGTCTTTATGCAACAGCACATTAAAAACAGACTCCTGTCAAAGCACTCAGACACAGGAAAGTTTAGCAGGAAGTGGGGGCAGCAATGTTTTGGTGTAACAACCAAAGGAACTGTGCTTTTCCTGTAGTTAACCTCAAATGGAATTTTATAAATTAATAAAGTGAGGCAAATGACATAATTGTTTTTCCTGTCTTGTAACTATTTTGGTTGTGCATCTCATCCATGCAGCTCCTAAAGATGCCAAGGTTATTCAATTAAAAAATATCTCTAAGTAACTGTAAACTTCCCTATAATGCAAACCAATATGAAAGGGATCTGGGAAAAACGGGAAAGAGGGAGAAATCATCTTCTTGCAAACGTCTTCTTTGTGTGGGATTCCATCTTTAAGAAAAAGATGGAGAATTTACTTACACCCATCACATAGGATTGCCTCCTCCCGTCTCAACCATCCAGTTACAGGAGACCCAAGGCACCATTCTTCAGATACTGCTTTTGGGCTCCTTTACTTTCCCTCTCAATCCCTTTAGTCTAGAGGAGACCCAAGGCACTGTTCTTGAAACTGACACCACTTCTGGGATACTTTACTTTCCCTCTAAAACAATTGAACCCAGACAAATCTGACAGATGCCATCCCACGTGTATTTAAGTGCTTTCTCCTGTTTCCAGGTGCATCTAAGATCTAAGGTGCATCAGGAGCTCAGAAAACAATTTCTCTCCATTTCAGTTCCCCCCATTTCTCCACACTTCTGACACAGTTCACTGACGAAACACCACACACAACAGCCTGAAGTCTGTCTGTGTCATATGATGGACTCGATGGTACTTCCTCCATGAACTGTTTTAGAAGTGTGTGGGGAACTTGCATGTGATGAAGTCCTAAGTAAGCAACAAAAAACCCAAACAATACAAAACAGAAGGAAGTATAGAACAAGTTTAGTTCTCTTCTCCCAAAAATCTCTGTTAAAATTTTCTACTTGCCCTTAAAAGGAGAGGGAAAGAACAGTCTTTTGGCGATCTTAAAGGAAGGAGGTCTATAAGTAGGAACAATAAAGAAAGAACATTGCTTCTGATGATAATGGCTTTTTGTATCTAAGTAGGTAGAAGAGGAAGCAGGAGCTGAAATAAGGAACTGAGCATGTAGAATTAATGCAGTTTGCCACCACTTTAATTGTTTTGGTTCAATGCTACGAAATTGTGGCAGAAATACTTTGCTGTAGCCCCAGCACTATTCGACAGATAAAGCTAAAGACTTTGTAAAACTACAACTCCAGGATTCCAGAGATAACTTGGTGGTTCTTCGTGTATCTTGGTGACTGAGGCTCCATCTACACTACCATTACAATGCAGATTGAACTGGATTATGGACCTTTTCACACAGTCCAAATTTTGAAGGCAGTGACTTTTTTTTTTTTTTAAGTTCAGCCTCAGAGCCCAATGACTCCCATCACACTTCGGAAAAGTACTTCCATAGTGGTTCCATAACTGAACTGCTGCAAACACCCTGCCACCACTGCCAGATTGCTCGCGGCAGTCAATAGCAGCTTCCCAGCTTTCCATTAGGAAAAATGGGTCAAGCCAGCTCAAGAAGGCTTCACCCTATGTGATGAGGAAGGGGAGAAAGCCACAATGATGCGGGCAAGGAGTGACAGGTTCCCATGCACCCTGTGTGGGTGCCACCGGGATGCGGCGATGCACTATCATTTCAGTGGCGTGTGTGACAGGGTAGTATATGGTAGTGTAGACCCATATAATACAGTTCAATACAGTTCAATCTGCATTCATTGGCATTATATGTTGATGAGACCAAAGGGTTTTATCAGTCAAAACCAGAATTCAGAATTGGGAGCCAATGCAGATATTGGGATACAGAATGCAGGACTGCCTCCAGGAAACAGTGTTGCATATCTGTACCCTTCCAAGGTTATAAATAAAAGCTGAAATCTACAATAGAAAATAGTAAAATGCATTTCCCCTATTATTATTTTTGAAAAAACTGTTTTATATCCCACATCTCCCCAAAATGAAATTTGATAGATTAAAACAAAATACAGACATAAACACATAATGATAATGAAAATAGTGTAAAAAGTAATCACATTATTTATTTATTTATCTATTTATTTATTTATTTATTTGGGGCATTTGTATCCCGTCATTTCTTGACCTCCGCAGAGGGACTCAGGGCAACTACCAACCGGCACAGCACTGTGCCAACAACAGAATGAAACAAGCATAAATACACATAATAATACAGATATAAAAATACATTAAAAGAACATTTAAAACAGGTTCTTGTGGGTTTTTTCGGGCTATAGAGCCATGTTCTAGAGGCATTTCTCCTGACGTTTCGCCTGCATCTATGGCAAGCATCCTCTGAGGATGCTTGCCATAGATGCAGGCGAAACGTCAGGAGAAATGCCTCTAGAACATGGCTCTATAGCCCGAAAAAACCCACAAGAACCAAGTGATTCCAGCCATGAAAGCCTTCGACAAAACATTTAAAACAGTCCGCCGATTTAAGTTGTCATCCTAAAAACTGTCCATTAAAACAGTATCTTTGCCAGCAAATAGGACGTAAGCTTTCCTATTTACAACAGAATGAAAACAGCTCAAAAGAATTTAAAAATAGCAATAAAAACTCAAATGCAGCACATTCACATCCTGTATTAATCTACCGCAATCAGTTAAAGCCCTTCTTAATTTTTTAGAAGGTGCCGGTGGAAGGAGACCCATTGGCTTTCCCCCTGTTCCTCTGTTGCATACTTGTTGAGGAATGGCTATAAACTGTAGCATTTTCCTCGTTGACATCAAACAACATGTTAGCATAAAGGTCAGCAAGAATAAATATTTTTCACTGATCGGTAAGCAGGAAGATATGTTCCCATTTAGTGAAACAAAGCTAGGTATAAATATTTTAGTAACTACTAAATGTTCCTGAAGAGGTCCAAGGAAAACACTAAGGCCTGGTCTATCCATCTAAAATCCCATGTTGTAATGCTTGCTAAAAAGCTTGCATGGATGGGGATGAAGTCTCAGAAAGGATATAAACACACACTGAATGAGTTAACATATTTTACTTTGTATCTTACAACACAATGAAATGTAATTTGGGAATTCATGGTAATTCTGGAACCTATTTGCCACCATGGTATCACCTAGGCAAACCAGGCATTTCTAGCAAATCTTCCAGAAAGGAACGTAAACTTGAAGTATTTTTGTTCTTTTCAATACTATAATAAATTAACTATCGTGATGAAACAATCCCCTGTTACTTACAGAGGCAGAATAGTTGTTAGCATGGAACATTGAAACAGAGATTTGTAGATTAATCCAATATGTAATACAGATTTATTTATTGTATTTTAATTGATTAAATAAATGTTTTCTTTAAAAAGCCACTTCAAACTTCCTGTTTCATCAGCTTGAGTAAGCACAACACAACGGGTCACATGCTTCAGTAAGCATAGTGGTAATCTTTCGAACTGGAACATTATGCAATTGAGGAATTCATTTTCGTTTCCTATGTGTCGTCACTCTACATTTTTTTTTCTACTGTAGAAAACTTACTGCATATTTCTCACGGTAGGTTTACTGAGTATTAGACTTGTGGAATTCTTACACCCTATTGCTTACTCCCTAAATACACATGTATTGCAAAGCTCTAAAAATGTCCCTCTTTTACAACTCAGTAATAGCCTATGAACAGTTTATAGACGTCACACTCAACTCCTGCAATGATTCAGTCAGCGTTATCATAGAATAATAGAATCATAGAGTTGGAAGAGACCTCATGGGCCATGCAGCCAAACCCCTTGCCAAGAAGCAGGAAAACTGCATTCAAAGCACCCCCGACAGATGGCCATCCAGCTTCTGCTTAAAAGCCTCCAAAGAAGAAGCCTCCACCACACTCCAGGGCAGAGAATTCCACTGCTGAACAGCTCTTATGGTCAGGAAGTTCTTCTTAATGTTCAGGTGGAATCCTTTCCTGTTGTTTAAGCCATTGCTCTGCGTCTTAGTCTCCAGAGCAGCAGAAAACAATCTTGCTCCCTCCTCCCTGTGACTTCCCTTCACATATTTATACATGGCTGTCAAGTCTCCTCTCAGTGTTCTCTTCTAAAGGCTAAACATGCCCAGCTCTTTAAGCTGCTCCTCATAGGGCTTGTTCTCCAGACCCTTGATCATTTTAGTTGCCCTCCTCTGGACACATTCCAGCTTGTCAACATCTCCCTTAAATTGCAGTGCCCAGAATTGGACACAGTATTCCAGGTCTGACCAAGGCAGAAGAGAGAGGTAGCATGACTTCCCTGGATCTAGACACTATATTCCTATTTATGCTGACCAAAATCCAGTTGGCTTTTATTCTGTTGCTGCCTGACATTGTGGGCTCATGTTTAACTTGTTAGCCACCAGAACTCAAAGATCTTTTTCACACATATTGCTCTCGATCCAAGCGTACCCCATTCTGATTCTTCGCATTTCATTTTTTCTGCCTAAGTGGAGTATCTTACATTTTTTCACTGTTGAACTTCATTTTGTTAGTTTTGGCCCATCTCTCTAATCTGTTAAGATTGTTTTGAATTCTGCTCCTGTCTTCTGGAGTATTGGCTATCCCTCACAATTTGGTGTCATCTGCAAACTTGATGATCATGCCTTCTAACCCTTCATCTAAGTCATTCATAAAGATGTTGAACAGGACTGTGACACTCCACTTATCACTTCTTTCCAGGATGAAGAGGAAGCATTGGTTAGCACCTTCTGGGTTCATTCGTTTAACCAATTACAGATGCATCTAACAGTAGTTTTGCCTAGCCCTCATTTGACTAGTTTGTTTGCAAGGTGGTCATGGGGTCATGTTGAGAGTCTTACTGAAATCCAGATACGCTATATCCATGGCATTCCTTGCTTATAACTCTAGCATTGCCTCCAAACAATCCTGCAAACCTCTTAGGAAGACAGGCAGCAAATATCCGTGTGCTGGAAGAAGCGAAGACCACCAGCACTGAAGCAATGATCCCCTGCCATCAGCTTTGCAGGACTGGCCACATTGTCTGAATGCCCAATCATCATCTCCAAAAGCGAAAAGCAGAATGTTGGTGGACAGGAAAAGAGATTTAAAGATGGGCTTAAAGCTAACCTTAAAAATTGTGCCATAGACACTGAGAACTGGGAAGCCCTGGTCCTTGAGCACTCTAACTGGAGGTCAGCTGTGACCAGCAGTGCTGCGGATTTCAAAGAGGCACAAATGGAGGGTGAAAGGAAGAAATGTGCCAAGAGGAAGGTGCGTCAAGCCATCCCTGACTGGGACCACCTTCTACCTGGAAACCGATGCCCTCATTGTGGAAGAACATGCAGATCAAGAATAGGGCTCTACAGCCACCTATGTATTAACCACCAAGACACAACACTTGAAAGGCCATCCTACTCGGACAATGAGGGATTGCCTAAGTAAGTAAGTAATTAAGTAATACCAGACTCTCACAGAGCAAAATACTCAAAGCCCTCATGGAACAAACCACTCAAATGCACACACACATGGGCTTAATGTTGACTGTGAATCTTAATAGTGCCGCAATATCCTTTTTCATTCATGGTAAGTTGTGGTTTTCAGCTTAAGTGCTATACCAAAAAAGATAAAAACAGTGCACCTAAATAACTCCTTCATGGGATTATAAAGGAATTTAAATGACTTCCTTTGGTACTAGTTGCTGTTTTTCCAAGAAGTCTTTTTTGTTTTCTAGAAAAAGTATATGAAGAAAGGTATAGAAAAAATATTTTAAATATGGTAAAAACACAAACACACCATGTTCTGAAATATTAGAAAAACCCTGATGAGGAAAATTGTGAACTGATAATGACCACACGATTTGCAAATTTGCAGATACACAGAATAGCATTGACTAAATAGAGAATAAAGTATTCCTACAAGGGAACACAGTTTTTTTGCAGATAACACCGTTTCCAGTCAGAGGCGGCCCTAGGTAATTTTCAATGGTAAGCAAACAGTATTTTGGCGCCCCCCCTCCCCCCCAACCAATCATTGATATATATTTTCTGTTCGTCATGGGAGTTCTGTGTGCCATATTTGGTTCAATTCCATCATTGGTGGAGTGATCTTAGGTGAACTATACATCCCAGTAACTACAACTCGCATATGTCAAGGTCTATTTTTCCCTAACAGTGCCGCAAGAATGCCCCTGGGCAAAATCAACTGTACTGCGAATGCTTACTTTGCGTAATGGGTTGAGCTGCCCCTGTTTCCAGTGCAAAAAATGTTATAAATACTATGTGCATTTTAATGTTAAAATTATTATTATTTTGCATAATAAGTTCTGAATTATGGATAGTCGGTTTTGGAAGACTTTCCCACATATGGAAGAAAACTGCTTTCTTTGAAAACAAAGTTAGTAAAGAACTACATCCCTAGAAAGGACACAAGTAGCAGAGCTGCAGTTGCTTTGGCCCGCATGCAGGAAACTCATCTGTACTCTTTTGGCTCCCTCTACTGGAAATTTTAAAATTAGACTTTTTGTTAGAACAGAGATTCTCAAATTTTATCAGCCCGGAGCCCTTTTTGAAGCAAAAGTTTCTCATGGAGCCCCAAGAAATGTTTATATATTATATTATATATTATACCTTGACCTTGAAGGAGCTGGAGGTGATGACGGCTGACAGGGAGCTGTGGCGTGGGCTGGTTCATGAGGTCACGAAGAGTCAAAAGCAACTGAATGAATAAAAAACAAAAAGTTATATATTATATTATATATAATTTGTATATATCAGGCATGGGCCAGGCCAGTGGCAGATAGAGGGAGCATGTTTGTATAAACTGATCCGCACAATGCAAAAAGAAAAAAAGTAAAAAGTAAAGAAAGAATAGAATGGTATGTTGTTTATATTTATTTATTTATTGTGTCAGGGGCAGACCTGCACTGCACTTCTTAACAGACAAACAAACAAACAAACCCTGCAAGCTTGGTAGTTGATTAAATGTCCTTTGACCAGTAGCTGGCCACTTGGAGTGCCTCTGGTGTTGCTGCAAGAAGGTCCTCCATTGTGCAAGTGGCAGGGCTCAAGTTGCATTGCAGCAGGTGGTCTATAGTTTGCTCTTCTCCACACTCGCATGTCGTGGATTCCACTTTGTAGCCCCATTTCTTAAGATTGGCTCTGCATCTCGTGGTGCCAGAGCGCAGTCTGTTCAGTGCCTTCCAAGTCGCCCAGTTTTCTGTGTGCCCAGGGGGAGTCTCTCATTTGGTATCAGCCATTGATTGAGGTTCTGGGTTTGAGCCTGCCACTTTTGGACTCTTGTTTGCTGAGGTTTTCCAGGGAGTGTCTCTGTAAATCTTAGAAAACTATTTCTTGATTTAAGTCGTTGACGTGCTGGCTGATATCCAAACAGGGGATGAGCTGGAGATGTCACTGCCTTGGTCCTTTCACTATTGGTTGCTACTTCCTGGTGGATGTCAGATGGTGCAACATCAGCTAAACAGTGTAATTTCTCCAGTGGTGTAGGGCGCAGACACCCCATGATAATGCAGCATGTTTCATTAAGAGCCACATCTACTGTTTTAGTGTGGTGAGATGTGTTCTACACTGGGCATGTATACTCAGGAGCAGAGTAGCATAGCGCAAGGGCAGATGTCTTCACTGTGTCTGGTTGTGATCCCCAGGTTGTGCCAGTCAGTTTTTGTATGATATTATTTCTAGCACCCACTTTTTGCTTGATATTCAGGCAGTGCTTCTTGTAGGTCAGGGCATGGTTCAGAGTGACTCCCAGATATTTGGGTGTGCTGCAATGCTCCAGTGGGATTCCTTCCTTGTTTATATAATGTCAGTACAATAGTATAAAAACAGAAAGTGACAATACAATCCTAACTAAAGTATTTTGACTCATGAGTCATATATTTTTGGTTGAGTACTACTTCCTAGGCTTGTGTAATTCGGGTAAACTGCGATCCGTTTCGGTGTCCCAGTTTTCAGTGGGGAGGGGGCCTTGATCCATTTTTTGGGAGTCTCCCAAATTTGGGAGGACAGAAATCCGTATTTGATCTGGGAAGCCGAAAGATTCATGTTCTATCCAGCCCTTTATGGGGGACAGCTTCCCACGCTCCCCTTCCCGTCATTTTAGGCATTGTTTGTCCTTATATCCTTAATTAAGACCTGAATTAAAAGCATCAGAGTTAAGATACCACTCTTTCTGCGATCCTTTCCTTTCTGTCTGTAGAGGAGACTGGGTTTAATCCTTTGTTAAAGCTGTTTCTACTCTAGAGGAGACAGGTGCTGCAGGTGTTTGCGGCACTTTCTCCCTGCAACATGCAGCTTTCCAAGGAATTTTAAAGAGGCTTCTAACTTCCCAGGGAAGGAAGATCAATCAACCTGGAGCTATCCTACCCTGGGCTTCCTTTTTTTTAAAAAAAAAAAACAACCTCTCTTTTCTCTTGATTTGCAGGTCCTGGAGTGGTGCTTCCCCCTACCCCCGCTTTTCCTTCTGGCAGCTGTCTCCCTCCTGCACTCACTTGCAAATGCAGCCGATTTTTGACAGCCACTGTTCTATTGCAACTGGAAAAAACATGGAGGCTGAGCCCTTGCCGTTACGACCAGCCGAACAAGCCGGGCCAGCTGGATTAGCAAAAGTGAACCGGCCAAATCGAATGTGCGCACAAGCCTATTACTTCTTTGCTAGCTCATTTCACACAATTCTTGCCTGCACTCTGAAATGAGGAGTGGGCTTGTGGTTGTAACCCTTGGTCTCAATTTAATCTGCCCAGGGAGATGACATGTGTGCAGATTTATTCATTTGCAGATATGTCAACACTAGTATAAATCCTGGAAAAATGGGTGTGCACTTAATGCAGGGAGAGCTCTAAACATGCCAGTACATGTGTCTTGTTTTTGTAAACATTCAATCACATGCAAATACTCCCTCCCCCATGTAATTATTACATATTGTTTGAACACGTTTACCTCCCTAAAAAACTACTTCATGTCAAAACAATCCTCTACACTCTCATCTCAATATTCCATCTCTCTGATATAGATTCATACCTTAGCTTTTATTATTATTGTTATCAAAACCTCAGAACCCCAAAACAGTCCAATATCCTTGCTCCCAGAAATGCCAAGAAGGGTCCTGGACAGAAAGTCCATGGGTGAAGTTTCTCCCAACGACACAGTTCAACTAATTTGCATAGGTGATCTCTAGCCTGAGTTCATAAGGCTGCGCGAGCACCTATACACTCACCATCCCATCTCATAATCCCCTTTCTTTGATTGCCTTGGACCTTCACTGATAAGTATTAATCAGCTCAAGGCCACTACCTGAGTTGTGTAATCCAATTCCCTAGTAAGATTTTTGATCAACTGCAGACATAGAGATTTTGTCCAGAAATGGTTAATTAATAGCTTGGGTTATTTCAGTTCAGTGAAGTCAGTAGGTGATCCTGCTGAATATAAAAAGTGACTCTTTGACATCTTCTGAATCAGTCTTAGGCTTTCATGTAAACTATTGTTTCATACTTGTCTTCTCATTATAGTTGCCTTAAGATGTTAGCCTTGCTTTTCTTATGGGGAGCAGTGGTGATGCTCAGCTGTAGCTGCTGGTTTTTTCTGAGAAGAAGGAGGTAAGGGGGATTCTTTTTGCACATTGTTGGCAAATCTTTAAAGATCTTTACTATCAAATGTGCATTTTTTAAAATTATGTTTAACGAACAGCTCAGCTAATAGATAAGATTGTTTCAATTTCAGGTGTATACAAGTAGTCCCCAAGTTACGAACCTGATAGGTTATTTAGGTTTGTTTTTAAGTTGAATTTTAAGTTGGAACAGGCACATTTCTGAAGTATAACTCCAGAAAATAAATATTTTTTAAAGTTTTGCATAGTATAGGGAAAGATTGACAGCCCTGTAATGTTTCTTCTGCTATCTGTACCTCAGTTCAGAAAATTTCACCTCACTTTCTGTCCCTGTGACAGTAAGATTTTGAAAAATTTGGGTTATTGTGGAAACAAGGATTGGTAATATAGCTTCAGTGGAGACAATTTCCCCCCATAACTCTTCCCTTCCTAGAGGTAGATTTTGACTCTCTTCCTGTTTTCTCACTCCAGTTCTTAACTACGAGTCATCTGTAAGTTGGATGTTTGTAACTTGGGTACTGCATGTATACCAGTAACAATGGACCCTATTTTCTAACTTTGTACAACATACATTTCAAAAGGGAAACATAAATATACACAGAGGAAAATATGTGTGAGCAAGCTATTAAATTATGTGAACTGGAAGACTAAGACTGGTTTATCACAAATAGCTAATGCTGTATTGCAGCTTCTTTGAAAGCAGCAGGCAACATTGTCTCCGCAGTGTGTGCAGAATTCTCCAGATTTCTTCTATATGTTCTCCTATGGTTATTTCCCTATTGAAACACATTAGAATTTTTAAAAATTGAAATTAGGCACGTGTTTTGTCCATTATATGATAAAATGATATAGTACTTCGAAGAAAATATGGAAGGAGATAACAAAATCCAGCAGATTAAATAAAGTTTTTACTTATTGTTATGTATCTAAATGACACTTGGAAATGATTGCCAGCTATAATCACCATCTCACCACCGTCATCAACATTCCTGCTGTTGTCATTTCTTATTTGCTGTTTGATTAAACACTTACCTATATATTCTAGAAAAATCAACCAATCATTTAGTGGTTTTGCAAATGAGATTATTCATCAATAGTATTTTAATACTGCATTATTGGGCAAGAGGGTGGACTGGGGTTTGCCAGTGCTGAAGTCTCCTATCCTTCTCAATTTCCCAAGCATTTGGGTGTTTTTAATACACACACACACTTACAAATAACATTCCCCAGGGAGCATGGAAAATAACTTTTTCATGGGTTGTTGTGAGTTTTCCGGGCTGTATGGCCAGCATTCTTGCCTGATGTTTCACCTGCATCCATGGTAGGCATCCTCAGGGGTTGTGAGGTCTGTTGGAAAGCAGGAAAATGGGGTTTACATATCTAAGGAATGTCCAAGGTGGGGGAAAGAATTCTTATCTGTTCGAAGTAGATGTGAATGTTTCAATTGGCCACCTTGATTAGCATTTAATGGCCCAGCAGTTTCAAGGTCTGGCTTCTTACTGACTGGGGGAATCCTTTGTTGGGAGTGATTACCTGGCCCTGATTGTTTCTTATCTGGAATTCCCATTTTTCAGTGTTGTTCTTTATTTATTGTTATGATTTTAGAGGTTTTTTAAAATACTGGTAGCCAGATTTTGTTCATTTTCATGGTTTCTTCCTTTCTGTTGAAATTGTCCACATGCTTGTAGATTTATTTCAGTGGCTTCTCTGTGTAGTCTGACATGATAGTTGTTGAAGTGGTCCATCATTTCTGTGTTCTCAAATAATATGCTGTGTCCAAGTTGGTTTATCAAGTGCTCTGATATGGCTGAATTATTCTGCAGTGCCTTTCATGTTCCTTTTTTCGTGTTTGGGTGCTGCGGTTGGTGGTCCTTATGTAGACTTGTCCACAGCTGCACTGATATATGGTAGGGTCCTGCAGAGGTAAGAGGATCTCACTTGTCCTTTGCTGAATGTAGCATTTCTTGGATTTTCTTAGTGAGTCTGTTCTTTATCCCACCCTGGACATTCCACAGATACATAAACCCCATTTCCCTAGTTTTCAAAAGACCTCACAACCTCTGAGGTTGCTTGCCATACATGCAGTCAAAATGTCAGGAGAGAATGCTTCTGGAACATGACCAACTCAGTGATTCCGGCCACGAAAACCTTCGACAATACATTTAAACTTATTCATGTTTTCAACCCTCATGCTATTTTCCAAAATGGGGAGTAGCTGGAAGTAACTTCTGATATTTAAAAAATAGACCCTTAAACAACACTGTGTTGAGGGAGAACATGGTAAAATTAGCCTCTTATATCAATATTTCATTTTTGTGCGGAGAGAAAAGTCTTGGAGCTGTGCAAATGTACTCGAGGAGCTGTGTGGGGTCCACAAACTCCACTTTCCGCACACATGGAATAATTTTTTCTCTCTTTGCTTTTGATGCCAGTTCTCATGGATCTATGAACCTGAAAAGTATCCTCACATAATGTGGCAGGTGTTAAATGATGTCTTTGGGGGGTTGGGGTATTGCTTTATTGTGATGATGTATATTGCAATTTCTTTAGATTTTTTGTCCGGTCCATCCAAATTGCTCCCAGAGCAGCTATCATCGCTGTTTTGAACTGGATTATCTGAGTCTACACTGCCATATAATCTGGATTTTATATGGAAGAGTAGGTGGTGCCTCAATTCAAGGCAGTTTACTTAAGCATCACATATTATTAATGGGCTTCTACTTATGGTGACTGATTTTCAGCAAGTTAAACGAAACAGATATTGCATCTGCTGAACTGAAAGGTCTGTAAACATAAATCTGGGCCACCTGCCAAAGTCCCCAGAGGTGGCTTCTTTCATCCAGCTGTTCAGATTTAATATCCAATCTGCCAAAAATAATGGTCAATATGTTCATTAGTTCATCAAAATTTATCTGAATAAATATATCTCTTCCATTTAGAATCCACAAATCATAAGTGTATACAAGATAGAAATGCAAATTTAATTGAATTTGATCTACAGTAGGTGTGGCGTATTCTCATTATTGGGGCTATAACAAGCTTCTGTACTGTGCTAAAGTCATTATTTGCTGGTTATCTACTCCTTCTAAGTGGATTTATTACTCAAAGGAGGGTAATTCCTTCAAGCAATCATGGAAGTTACACATTATAAATAAATGTTTGCTTGCACAGCAAATTTGAAGGTCAAGCCTGAAATTATAGTCTTCTATACTGTGTATCTAATCTATTTCTTTTTGTAGACGTCCAAATGAGCCACCCTTAGAGAATGGGATGCTGCCCTACCTTGGATGTGCTTTGCAGTTTGGAACCAATCCATTCCAATTCCTCAGGGCAAGAGAAAAGAAATACGGTCCAATTTTCACTTGTCAACTGGCTGGCAAATACGTCCATTTTCTCACAGATCCCTTTTCGTATCATGCAGTTATGCAACATGGAAGGCACCTGGATTGGAAGAAGTTCCACTTTGCGACCTCTGCAAAGGTAGCCCTGGGCAAAGGAGGAAAACATTTTCAATTTATTTAATAAATTAATGTGATAAAACTGAGTTTAAAGTAGCTTGCAGCAACATCACAAAGTGATAAATAATATAACTGAATACAGCAACAATTCAGGCCAGGTGAATATGAGTCTAATAGGTATGGATCAGTTCCAGCAAGTCTCACTGTTAGATGAGCTGATGAAGCTGATTTTTTCTTTACTCTTAGGACTTCTACTCACAAGTGAGTGGGAAGCGGGTGAAATCATCTTCTTTGTGTGCCATTTCATGGGGTTCCATCTTTAAAGAAGATGGAGAATTTACTTTCCCCCATTCACAAAGGAGCACCCCTTCCTCCTCTAGCTCAATAAATTCAAGGACATCTGTACCCTTTTAAAATAAGTATCCTATTTGAACTACCACTTTCCATGGGCTCATTCCCCTAAAGACCCTACACCAGTGGTTCTCAACCTGTCGGTCCCCAGATGCTTTGGCCTTCAACTCCCAGAAATCTTAACAGTTGGTAAATTGATTGGGGTTTCTGGGAGTTGTAGGCCAAAAGACCTGGGGACCCACAACTTGAGAACCACTGACCTACACTAAAGGAGAGGAGCATACTTTTTCAAAAACTTATTTCAATGGGACCCACACCATTTTTAAACCATTGGCGGAAACAGGTGGCATATGAGCAAACTGTCCACATGAATGTGCATACTGAAACATCATAAAGTTATCTGGACAAATCCATCAATTCCCATCGCAAGGAAAAGTACTTGTTTGTAAGCATTTCTATGAGCAGTGAAAGGATTGGAGATTATTTCTGCCCATCTTTGGATCTTCCGGTTTCTACACACTCCCCATGAGCATTACCTGGAAACAGTCCTGTATTGTTTGATGGACTCCATGGGAATCCATCTTTGAAGTGTGTAGAAACGGGTAGAAATTTGAGGAAAATATCCATATGATGAGGTCCTTAGTAAAAGGAAAGGAAGCTGCCAATTTAAGACTGCTAGCAAACAGCTAGTTTAAACTGGCATTAGAGGTACAAGATCAATTTCTCATTTCCATTTTGAGAGCAGTTGAAAGTAGAACCAAATCATAATACTTTTTCTCTCATTTAAAAATTTCTGCTGATTCACTGATTGGAATGAATAATTCAAACTATACCCACTTCAGGCACCCAGGAATATATTTTACTTATAGTTTTAAACGAATCCTTGTTGGTGGCTGATTGGGAGTATTGACCCCAAATAGAATAGATGCTTCATAAATATACTAGTGGCAAAAATATTCAGTTTAATATTACTGTGATCCAGTTTTGCCACATTTACTGAGGAGGAGTAAAAGTGATAAGACTGTGACTGTAATCCTATGCATACTAGGGATAAACATGCATAAGGTTCATTTGGAATTGAGGTTTATTTAAAATTAGGTATACTGTGGATTAGAGCCAGTGCAGTACAGTTGATTAAGCATTGGACTGGGACAGTGAGAAACCAGGGATCAAATCACTGCTCATGAATTCTGGGTAACTTTGGACAGTTGTATCATTCAAAATATTTAACAACCAGTTAAGTGGATGACTCTCCCTCCTTCCCACTTTCCCTTCCCTGCTATCCTTCTCCCTTACTCTCCCTTTTTTCTTTTCTCCTGTCTGCATTAATATTTCCTAATTTCTTAAATGTTTGGCTAGGAACCAAAGCGCCATCTGTAGCATTCTACTTTTCAATTGAATTTTCAAGCTGTTAGGACTGTATCCAATATAAAACTAGCAATAAGTGGTTGCCATTTGCAATTCCTTGTATAATGAGGGATTGTGGAACATTTAGTGGAAAAGTTTGCATATGAGAAAGACAAGTGATGGATTTTTACAAGCAGCTGCTCTACTACTGACAGCAGCCTTCTACAAACAGTTAAATGGTTGAAATGGTCTTCAAAAGCCCGTGAGATTGAAAATGCTGCATCTAAAGGCATCTAAAATATCCCTCTGTTCATCTGCTGGCAAGAGGATGGGAGAGATAACTGGATGAATGAATATTAATACAATGTATTTTCATTACATTTGACAACAGGCATTTGGACATGGGAGTATTGACCCAAGTGATGGAAACACTACTGAGAATATGCAACAGACCTTCACTAGAACATTGCAGGGCAATGCGTTAACATATCTCAGTGAGGCCATGATGGAAAACTTGCACTATGTTATGGTGGAATCTAGAGAAGCAAAAATGAGCTCCAGTGACTGGGTCACTGATAAACTTTATGAGTTTTGCTGCTGTGTGATGTTTGAATCTGGGTTTTTAACCCTCTTTGGTACAGAGTTTAACTCAAACTATGGGAAGATCCTTTCTTCTACCCAAAAAAACCAGAGAGCATCCATCCTCCATGCCCTGGAGAACTTCAAAGCCTTTGACCAAATCTTTCCAGCTCTTGTAGCAGGTCTACCAATCCACCTATTCAAAAATGCCCACAGTGCACGAGAGAAGCTAGCTGAAGCTCTGCTCCATGAGAACCTTAAAAAAAGAGAAAACATTTCTGAACTTATTTCTCTTCGCATGTTCTTGAATGACACTCTCTCCACTTTTAATGACAAGGAAAAAGCAAAGACCCATCTTGCAGTTCTGTGGGCTTCACAAGCCAATACAATACCTGCTACCTTTTGGACCGTGTTCCATCTTCTTCGGTAAGTTCAGGCCCGTAGCCAGGATTTCGTTTCGGGGGGGCTAAAAAATTTTCAGGGGGGGTTTCGGGGGGGGCTGAGTTTCGGGGGGGGCTGAGTCTGAGTGAAAGAGGATCTAGCCTAGCAAACCTTTTGTATCATTACCCCAATACCCCCATGCATATGGGATATATTGAGTATGGTGATCAGATCATGATATGAATAAACATAACAGTTTAAATAATGCACCAGTAAGGCCTTTTCGTGAACCACCATGAGAATTTCGGGGGGGGGTGTGGCCCCAAGCCCCCCCCCCCCCCCCCGGCTACATGCCTGGGTAAGTTGCTACTGTTGTCAGGCTACAAGAACTGACATTGTTCTATATTGTACTATTTTCCTTTGTTGTGGCTGGCCCCTTGAGGTGGCATGGGTGTTTCCCTACTCTGCAGAATGACCCTTGAATTATCAACAGGTTATATAAAAATCCACAGTTTTGGCACCAAAACCTTCATGTTGTTCCCGTTCATGGATCATAAATAGTCTTTGTTGGGAGGAAGCTGGAGTTTGGCAAGTAAGAACTAAGTCAGATGGATGTCAGGAGGGATATGAATATTCAGAGCTTCTTCACAAGTCATTCTAGTATTACAATCATACATTATAGCTGGGACCAATTAGGGTCTATTTTATCTCTTCACAAAAGTTTTCCAAAATACTACAAACAAGATAACTTGTCTGCAACTTATCCCCATCATGGGATGTCTGAGCAGTGATTGATATTGTGCCTATGTTTAGTTTATGGGCTAACTGATGACTAATATTAGTATTGCAATTTTGGTACATGTTTTGTACTAATTTCTTTTCAATTTCAGAAATCCAAAAGCATTGGAAGCAGCTACTGAAGAGGTGAAAAGGACTTTACAAAATGTTTCAGGAAATATTGGTTCAAATAGGAATCCAATTCCCTTGAATAGAAAACAACTGGATGACATGCCTGTGTTAGGTACAATTGCTTAACACATGTTGTAGTAGCAAACCTTCCAGCACTTCTCCATATCTATGATTAATAAAAACAGCTGTCAATGTTTGGGAATCATTAATTATGACAATAAATCAACAGCAAAGTTATTTGTATTGGTCATGGTATTTGATCTGTCACACTAGGCAGCTTCTTTTTAGTTTTCATAGTATTTCACGGAGTCAAACTAAATCCAAATAATTTTATTTTTGTTTCCAAGAAACCTTCTCTGGTTTCCATGCACCACATTACTTTCAGTTTTGCCATTTCTGCAGTAGCTGATCTTATCCTGTATCTAGGTTAAAGGTGCCTTTTGTTCCCTGTCCAGATAGCATTATCAAAGAAGCAATAAGGCTCTCCAGTGCATCCATGACAGTGAGAGTTGCCAAGGAAGATTTCACGTTGCAATTATGCAGCAGCTCCTACAATATCCGCAAAGATGACATTGTAGCTCTCTATCCCCAGCTGTTGCATTTTGATCCAGAAATCTATTCTGATCCTATGGTGAGTAATTCAGCTTCAGAGAAAATCACACGTCATCAGAATTTAAGACATTGCTTGCACCATAGCTCGACAGCATATTATTATCACTATGGCAGTGGTTCTCAACCTTCCTAATGCCACAATTCCTTAATACAGTTCCTCATGTTGTTGGGACCCCCAACCATATAATTATTTTTGTTGCTACTTCATAACTGTAATTTTGCTACTGTTGTGAATTGTAATGTAAATATCTGATATACAGGATATATTTTCATCCATTGGACCAAATTTGGCACAAACACCCAAAATGCACCCAAATATGACTACTGGTGGGGTTTGGGGGGGGGGGGGGGGGGAGGGTTGATTTTGTCATTTGGGAGTTGCCGTTGCTGGGATTTATAGTTAACCTACAATCAGAGCATTCTGAGCTTCACCAATGATGGGACAGAACCAGACTTGGCACACAGAACTCCCATGACCAACAGACCATACTGTATTTTCTGATGGTCTTCTAACCAGAGTTAGAAATGGATTATCTTAGTCTAACCAACCCCCCCCCCCCCAAAAAAAAAGAAAGAAAGAGAAAGAGAGAGAGAGACTTGGTACTAGTACTGAAATTCCAAATAAGATGTAACTGTTCTAAAATGCCCTTGAATGAATTTTAAAGTAACACAAGAATGTTCCTTATAATGACACCAAAACAATTACCTGAACCCTACTGGTAACCACAGCTAGAATACACTGACTGAATCAATTGTTGTATGGTGTGCTAACATTAGTGATTTACTGATGTTTGATGAGGAACACACACATATACACAGTTACACACACACCCTCAGATTAAATAATTTTATCACAATTTTAAATGATATTGGATTTAATAAATGCATTTTTGGACTTTGTTACAGACATTCAAGTATGATCGTTACCTTAATGAAAATGGAGAAGAAAAGACAGTTTTTTACCGCAATGGGCACAGATTGAAATATTATTATATGCCATTTGGAACAGGACTTGCAAAATGCCCAGGAAGACTCTTTGCAGTTCATGAAATCAAGCAATTTTTGACTTTGTTGCTTTCCTATTTTGAAGTGGAGCTCACTGACAGCAACGTGGCGTGCCCTTCTTTAGACCAATCGCGGGCAGGACTTGGTATCTTACAGCCTATAAGTGACATTAATTTCAAGTACAGATTCAAAGTTCTGTGAACCAACGTATGAAGCAAAGCTGTTTCTTTGTCTTAGATTCATATACACACATTAAGCTCCTGTGAGGATTTTGCTCCTGGGATTTTGGAGAAACTGTCAATGTTGCCAATACGTATATGAAACATGTACATTTATATATCTGATTTTAGGAAACATTTTGGGAGCTCTGCAATAAAAAGACAGACCACTAAGCATGTCATCTTATGCAGCTTTTTCTGAGAAAGCTTCCACTGTAAATATGTTACTGGTGGATCTTCAGGGGAGTTTTTGAATCACAATAGGAGCAAAGCATGTTGAAATGGTGCAAAATTGAACATTGTTTCACTTGAGAGGCTGGAGAGTGCTTACGTCACCACTTTCTGTAGGAGCCCTTGCATCATGCTACCATTTACGTACTTGCAAACAAAAGTTTCAGTCAAGCTTGGGTTCAGGGGCATGCTAGAACTGTTTTTGTATCATACTGTCACTGATCTCATGAAGAGTATGGAAAGCAGATGCAGAAAAAAAGATCTTGTTTTCTTTAGTGTCATTCAAAGTAGTTGAACATCAAAGAGTCAGTGCTTTGTGACTAAGTCCAGTTAATTATTCAAGTTAAGAAGAGATCCATTTAATCAAGAGGGTGTATATACGGTATATGCTGACTTATCAAGTCTTATTCATCAAATGAGACCGTTCTAGTTGTGTCTAATAAACAGAATTACCTTATAAGTTGTTGTAAAATGGGTGGGACTGTATAAGAAATTATTGTTTGTTTTTGTTGATTTTATCTGATACTATTTTTTGCAATAAAGTATTTTGAGCACTGGTGTTTATGGGTAAATAGATTGGAAATGCAGCATCACTTTACAAGGTAGTGTTGGGGAAATTCCCTATTCTCAGTTGTGTTTCTCCAGCTCAAATAAAAAATTGTGAAGATTCTTATTTTCATACATAGTCATTAGCTTTCAACATAATATATTTATGAAAGGTCATGAGAAATGCTCAGAAAACACAGTTTGGAGTCAATGAGCAAATAGGAGGTGGTTTGGTTTACTGAAGAGGGCGGTTTACTTATCAATAGACGAAAGTAACCCCGTGGGGGCAAACACTTCTTCTGTTGCTTGACCCTCTTTGCAATAGAAGTCCATAGAATGGTGCCAATCCTAATCTGAAAAACTGATCACAATCTGCATCATTATTTACTTAACCTATAATAACTTCACTTGACAAAGATCTCTTGCCCAAATTAACCTTCATACTCTGGTATGGGAAATTTTATTTCCCCAGGTTCATGTTTTGTTGTTGAATCCACACAGAAGCAGCCCTCACTGTTGTCATTCTACAATCAAGTCACTTGCACAATTATAAACAATGTCATTAGATTGCACCCATCTGATATTCTCTGTCAGTAAACTGGAGAAATAAACTTATTCCCACAGAGGGTTGTAAAGGAATTTACTAGGGCCATGAAATATCCCCATAATACCTATAAAATTTAATAATAATAACAACAATAATAATAATTTTATTTCTTACTCACCTCTCCTCATGGCTTGAGGCAGGTTACAGAATAATTAAAACACAGAAACATTGGGAAAATACCTGACTGCTCATTGGAGGGAAGAATAGTAGAGGCCAAGATGAAGTACTTTGGCCACATCATGAAAAGAAAGGAAAGCTTAGAGAAGACAATGATGTGGGGGAAAATGGAAGGAAAAAGGAAGAGGGGCCGACTAAGGGCAAGATGGATGGATGGTATGCTTGAAGTGACTGGATTGACCTTGAAGGAGCAGGGGGTGGTGACAACTGACAGGGAGCTCTGGCGTGGGCTGGTCCATGAAGTCATGAAGAGTCGGAAACAACTGAACGAATGAACAACAAACAAGTATTAAAAATGTATTTCTGTAAAAGATACATATGAAAACATATTTCTATAAAATACATGTTAAAACACACAAAACAGAGGTTAAACAAAGGGCATGAGTTTAAAATTCATGTTAAAAACTGGCCGGGTAGGTTTTTAGGTTTTTAGATAGTTTAAAAATTCTGACTGCTCATTTAGCTGTCGGAGTTCTTCCGGCAGGTTGTTCCACAGTCTTGGGGTAGCCGATGAAAAGGTTCTCTGGGTGACTGTCATCAGCTGGGTTCTGGCTGGTTGGAGTAGACCCCCCGCCCACGCCCCGAGGACCTAAGAGTTCAGAGCGGATTGTCAGGGAGAAGGCGATCCTTTAAGTAATCTGGAAGACCAATATCAAGTACTTTGCCCGGAAACTAACTGGCAGCCAGTGGAGTGACTTTAGGAGATATAATATGCTCACTCCTATTTATTTATTTATTTACTTTATTTGTATACCGCACTCTCTCAGCCCGTAGGCGACTCAGATGTTCCTGTAACCAATCTGGCTGCCGTATTTTGAATTAACTGGACTTTCTGAACTTGGTACAAAGGTGGCCCAACCTTGAGGTTACCAGTGTGTGCATTACCATCTTCAGGTCCTCCAAATCTAGGAAGGGGCGCATTTGGTGTATCAACTGAAGCTGGTAGTAAGCATTCCTGATGGTTGCATCTACCTGGACTGGCATTTGGAGAGATGGATCCAGGAGTGCTCCCAAGCTGCAAACACAGTCTTTCAGGGGGAGCGTAATCCCATCCAAGACTGGTTGACACACCTCCACCCCCCAGATTAGGACCCTTGATGGCAAGCACCTCTGTTTTGGCTGAATTCAGTTTCAATTTGTTTTCCCTCATCCACCCCATTACCTCTTCCAGGCATTGATTCAGAGAAGACACACTAACCTTAGTTGAAACTGCTTTTGAAGGCATTGAGAAATATATTTGGGTGTAATCAGCATACTGATAACACCCTGCCCCATGCCTACAGATTATCTCTCCCAGAGGCTTCATGTAAATATTAAAGATCACTGGGGATAGAATGGCACCTTGTAGAATGCCATATAACAGCTCCTTTTTTCTTTTTCTTTTGTGGAGCAGCTATCCCCAAGCGCCACCATCTGGAACCTGCCTGAGAGGTAGAACCAGAACCACTGCAGCACAGTGCCTCTGATTTCCAGCTCCTCAGGTGTTCCAAAAGGATACTATGGTCGATAGTATTGAGGGCCACTGAAAGATCTAGAGGCACCAACAGAGACACACTCTCTGTCAGGGGAGATCATCCACTAAGGCGCCCATAGCAGTCTCAACTCTATATCCTGTTCTGAAGACAGTTTGAAATAGGCCAAGGAAGTGTATGTCATCAAAGACTGCCTGGAGATGGAGGACAGTTGCCGTCTCAATCACCTTGCCCAAAAAAGGAAGGTTTTGCTCCAGTCCAGTTAAATGACTTTTTCAGATGGGTCAAATGTCTCAGGAAATTGGTGTATCATTACTTTAGTTCTTGGTCTGTTTTGTTGTTTAAATATCAAATGACATTTCCAATGTCCGGGACTATTTTCTGTCAATTCTTAGCACCACTTACATTTGATTTTGATCATCCCTTCTTCTCCCCACAGTAAAACATTCATGACAGCCCAAACTCTGATGCCCTAACAACAACTTCATTTGGTCTAGTGGTAAAGTTAGGCTTGCTCTCCTGCCTGCTTTTTCCCTTCTTTGCACTCAGTTACTTTCTACCACATGGGTTCATTTTATCAAAGATTAGCTGTGAGTGGGAAAGCCATTTTTTGCCACACCAATTTCTATGGAGAACACAGACATCTGGCTTCATGTCACATGTAGTTTGAGCCCCAGGCAATATCCATCACCTCACAGAAATGTGTGTCTTTTACAATACACCAGATAAGGGTTCTTGGAGCTTTCTAATTATTTGATAAGCATGCATTATTATGCATTTAGCCTTGAACATATAGCCTTGAACAGTACTTTCAAGGACCTTCACTAGTACTCTAGTATCTTTAATTACCAATACAGTAAATTACGCCATCAGTTTCCTTGAACCTTTGAACGACTAAAGTGACATTTCCATTAAATGATGTTTTCAAATATTACAGTGCAAAACATATTATATTAGCAATATCTAAAGAGTCCGTGATTATTATGATTGTGTTAGCTGCATACACACAGCAGCTGGCAGCTGTATGACTGTTAGAACTGATTCTTGGTTTAAATCCACTAGAATTTTTTTAAAGGCTTTGGCCTTGTGTGTATTTTGAAATGATTAGTCTCCAAAGGAGATTCCATTGCAAAATGGAATACCCAAATGCTCCATATCCCAAATATCATGTATGATCTGAAGATACCAGCCACATATGCTGGTGAAATGTCAGGAGAAAATGCTGCTAGAATACGGCCATACAGCCCAGAAACCACACAACACCTATGTGTGATTCATTCAAACACCCATAATAATCAAGGAGTGTACCGAAGTCTTCCACAATAAGTGATTATCTCTATTTTGTACCTTACCTTGACTCTTAATGGCCTCTTCCTATGATCTTTCACTTCTACAACAAGTGCATCATGTTTGCTAAAGCTATAAAACAGATTCCTGAATAGTAATTCGTGTATGTTTAAAAAAGGCAATACTAGTTAAAAGATCTCTTTTCACACTTCTGATTGTTTGTGAATCAAATTAGACGATGATTGGAAAGCACCATGTTTCCAAAAGCAGTATACTGTGGCAGAGAAGATAGAAAAATAGCTTTATCAACTGGGTTGTTGTAGGTTTTTTGGGCTGTATGGCCATGTTCTAGAAGCATTCTCTCCTGACGTTTCGCCTGCATCTGTGGCAAGCATCCTCAGAGGTTGTGAGGTTTGTTGGAAACTAGTTTCCAAAAAACCTCACAACCTCTGAGGATGCTTGCCTCAGATGTAGGCAAAAGTCAGGAGAGAATACTTCTAGAACATGGCCATACAGCCCAAAAAACCTACAACAACCCAGCGATTTTGATCATGGAAGCCTTCGACAATACAGCTTTATCAACTTTTTCACCCACACAGTTTTTCTGTTGAAGATCACATTACTATGCACTTGCTATTTGCTCCAATTGAGAAAAGTTTTAAATAGCAATTTTAGGGTGCAACCCAGGGGTGCTGCATGTGGACCCCACTCCTGAGTTTGACCCTGTACAGGTCTCTGGTTTGGACATGCCTGTGGGTTGAATATCGAATAACTTCAGGGCAATGGCTGATATACATACATAGCCTGTGATTTCTTCTCTAAGAAGTTAATTCCATATGCCTGAATCTTAAGAATGACTAATTCAGTGAATGTAGAAATTGTCCATCCTAGTGGAGAGAGCAAAGCCAGAACATTGAATCAGAACAGTGTCCAGCAGCTTTTTGTGTGTGTTAGGATGGTGCAATGGTTTGGGTGTTATACCGGTGCTCTGAGATACCAGGGTGCAAATGCTCATGGGAAATATGCTGTGTGACCTCAGGTAAGTCACACCCAGTCTCAGGGGAAGGTGTTGACAAGCCCTCTCGAAACAGATCTTGCTAAGTTCACTTTAGGGATGCCATTGCTTAAAGTCAGAAATGATTTGAAGTCACACAACCAATTCTTTAATACTTAATATTTTTGGTAGTTTTATTCTTAGAAAAGCTAATGATTAAGAACCATCAAAATAAGGTGCATATACATGTTTTCAAATGTATATGCACCTTATATATTTGTAGGATTATAAAGTCTGATAGCTTTGCTCATAAAATAATGAAACAATCAGAATGCATGCTATTTTTGAGATTGCACTTTCCTTCTTGACCTCTGCAATTCTCTAACCTAGGCTTCCATGTAGGAATAGAAAGATGTTCACAATATGATCCAGTATTGTTCATATATTGTAGTAACCTACTTTAATTATTTCACAATTGTATGATGTGTCTCTGGATTTCCCTGGACCAAAGACTGAACCAGGTTCCATGTTGGATGTCACCTTGTAAAATGTATTTTATCTGTAATCAGCAAATCAGATAAAGCAGATTACATGAATTTAAGTCAATCTATTTGTCATCACTGTTAATGGAACAGCTCTATTTAACATCTAGGTCTTGGATTACCTGATAAATTGGGCCACCCATTTTTAGATTAAAAACCCCATTAGTTAATAATTGCTGAATCATGAGTCACATATTTTGTGATTTTAGATAGCATTTAATACTTTTAATACTACTTCTTCTGTGTTTGCTGTTTGATTACTCACCACACCAAACTGGCAAAAAGAGGTGAAATCATCTTTAAAGTGTTTCCTTCAGGGAATATGATGTAAAACTCTCTTACTTAGTGGTAGAAACACATGACAGGAGTGATCTACCCCAAAAGGTTATGTCAAGATAAGGTATTCATATGCTATACGACAGATAAATCAAGAAGAGAGCAGTCATTCCTAATTAAATAACACACTGTGCGTTTGATCCAGAAAAGATCCACTGGCTATTCTGCAGCACCCCGTTAAAATCAAGGGGATGTTGATTCCTCGGTCCCATTGAAAGGTTGTGGGGTGGGTTGTGTCAGAGAGTGACAAATATAGCAATTGTCAAAAAGTCATATCTAGGCATGTTAATCAGTGTGAGAATGCTTCCTGTTACTGAGGGCCGTTCCAGATAGGCTCTATATCCCCAGATCTGATCCCAGGTTTTCTGTTTATCCTAGATTATCCGGCAGCGCGGACTCATATAATCCAGTTTAAATCAGACAATCTGGGATGAGATCCTGGGATATAGGGTCTGTCTGGAAGGGCCCATAACGTTGTGTGGTGGGACTCTCCACTGGGGTAAAACAAGTGGTGAAGAAGTCTATATTTACCATGTCTCTTCGTAAGCATGACATCCAAAGACAAGACTCTTAAATTGGGAACAGGCTGAGCGGGGTAAGGTCCACCCACTCTTCCCTCAGCAATCTCCATCCTATTTTATCTAATTACATGCTCTAGACCAGGCATGGGCAAGCTTCAGCCCTCCAGATGTTTTAGACTTCAACTTCCACAATTCCTAATAGCCATTAATATGGCTGGGATTTCTGGGAGTTCCAAGTCCAAAACACCTGGAGGGCTGAAGTTTACCCATGCCTGCTCTAGATCAATTACTGACTTCAGGTTCCTAGGCATAAAGTGGTGGCAATTTCCTTGAAATGGTATCCTGAATCCAAATCCCTCATTCATCATCAGATAAGAAAGATGCTCCAGGGGGAAGGTACCTGAGCAGAAACTTTCTGGCTGGGCCTGTGTCTTTGGAGCTTCCTAAACCTTTCTTGGGGGCCATATCTTACTTCTTCTAGTCCAACTCCCAAAGGCCTGAGCTGTTGAGACCCAGTGCACCTGTTTCCCCAACTGCCAATTAATGAGCAAGCCATAGAAGCCAGGAGCTTAGAAGGCAAGGCTTAGGACAAACCAAGGCCCGCTCAGGGCTGAAGACTTAATTGGGAAAGTAAGCAAAGTCTGCTGCTGTGGCTGCTTCTTCCTCCTTTATTTTTCCCATCAGGGCTCCTTGAAGAAAATTCAGCAGGCACTGGACATGTGACTAGATCTCTTTTCCCCAAAGACAGGAGTGGGTGGGCAGTGGCAAAGGTTTCAAATATTTCGGAGGTCTGGATAAGGAAGACTCAACCTGTGTAATACATATGCACAGCCTTAGTAGACTTTAAAGAGCAGGACATCTGCTTAAAAGACTGTGAATTCCCTACCTGTTAGACGAGGAAAAGCCTAAAAATGTAGGCCCAGGAAGTTCGGCAGCCATTTTGGAAAGGGTGCCGGGGGCATTCATTTTAAAATCTCATTTCCTGAAAGGGGCGTGCTTAGCTACTGGGAGGGAAATGAGAGGAGTTAGTGATTGGCTGGGAGTGGGCGGAGCTTAACTTAGAAAAGGAAAAAAAATGACTTTAAGGGGACGTTTTAAAACCCTGTCAGGGAGATTGAACCTGGGTGTCAAAGAAGGAGCTAGGAGCTTGGAATGGAGAAGAAAATAGTGAGAGAGGCCTGAAGTGGTCAGTTAGCTAGCAGAGATAGCTAGTGGGAAGATTACAGCTATTAGGGAAGACAGCTGGTGAGTGGAGTGACAGACAGTAAAGGACTGTCTGTGTGGAGGAGTTTAGAGTTACTTTCAGAGAAGCAATCCTGTCAGTAATCTCTGGAGGGAGAAAGGAGTTTTATTTGTAACTAAATCTAACTTGCTTAAAGAAACCACATGCTTTTAAGACAATCTTTCAAACCAACTAAGCTTATTGTCTATTTTGTTCCAGTTCTCTTAAATAAACATCATTGTTTTATTGTTCACAACATCTGCCTCACGTGTGCCTCTGTGTTTTAAAAGCAATTTACTGAAGAAGTCAAAAATTTAATGGTGGCAGAGTATATTTTAAAGAAGAACTCCCTCCAGTGTTACCTCAGTACACAGGCCTGAGTGAGAATCCAGCACATTCTAGCTAAAGATACCTGTAGTAAGCCAAGGGCTTGACACTGCTTTAAGGTTTGGTGGGTGCCAGAGAGCTTTCAAAAGGTTTTTGGCCAGAAGAAAGTTCCAGCCATATTACAGCTTTTTTATTTTGATTTTTAATTGCCTAAGGCCACGTTCTTGTACAATTGGTGGAAAGCGCTGGGATTTTATTCCAAAATAAAGCCTCCATCGATTATATTTGGTTTGCAGCAGTTGGGATTTGTTCACAAATAAATCCCTAACCTTTATAACACGTTTTAATTTCTGATAGATGCAGCAGCTTCAACAGTAAATAGCAAAGAAAAGGTACTCTGACAGGTATGGACTAAACATGATACAGCTCATAAAGGACCTCAAAAAGTATGATGGGAACAAATATTTCAATTAAGCCTAGTTTGTAACCATTGGACATTTTGTCAGAGGAGCTTGTGGCTTTAATAGCAAAGGGGCAATGAATCCACCACTAGTTTTAATCTGAACTTTAGGGAGATATCCAAGTTACTAAACTCTAATCACAAATTTGGCACCTTGGACAACATCTTTGAAGTTTAGAAGAAAGCCTGGCACAGAATCAACTCCAATGATAAGGAAGACACCAGCTACCTCTGACCAGCAACACGGGTATCACACATTCCTGGTAGCTAGTATCAATGACTAGTGTGGCTGTTCATCATCTGTGATCTATAGCTTCAAATTTCCCCCACACATCAAGAAAAACTACATACCTAATTTTTAGACAGAGGAATCAACTACCTAAAGGAACTATGACTTATTAGGTGTCACTTTAGCTGCCCATGTATGTGGCTGCAGCAAACTGCTGTTTTTGGAATTCTCTTGGCAACCTCTCAATGAAGATAAATGATGTAGAAAGGAGAAACTTTTTACCAGCATCACCTTTGCAACCAACTGAATGGAATAGAAAGACTTTGTTTTTCCGTTAATTCAAGCACCAGAATTTTCACAGTGAGCTAAAAATCCTTTAAGATTCAGTCCTATACTACATATTTGAATGTAAACCCAATTAAAGCAATAGTACTTACCTCTGAATAAGATTCCATCATAATCTTTCTGTGCCCCAACTTGTTTATTAATTGTTTATTCCTCTGATTTGTGACAGATAAATCTCCACATAAATGATCCTCTGCTTTTCAAAAATAAATAATCCAACATGGAAATAATACAATGAAAACATGTTCTTTATTGATTACCACACAAAGGGAATTTGTGATTGATTGAATCATGCAAACACTGGACTTAGAATTTTTTTGTTAAGTTTGAATCTTTTTGTGTGTGTGAATAACTGAAAACAATGTAGAGATGCATGTAAACATCTGGACAAGAATTCAAAACAAATTGGTTAAATTAAAATTACTTAAAAAAATATACAACCAAGGTAGTGTTCCCACATTCTACGTGGAAGACCTACTTTCCACTGAACATATTTTCTTTCCACTCTTTGACTTTGAAGATACCATGACAAACTATACAGAAAAAAGTATTTCTGTTTTTACCATGAATTACACAGCCTGAATAAGCCCTTTCATATTCTCTGTTTACTGACAGAGAACCTCATATGGGTGCAATCTAATGACATATTCTTTCTCAGTTGGTCTTTTTCAGAATAGGCAACTCTTCACACACTGAAGGGTCAATTGTCTTTAAGTTACATTATAATCAACATGTCAGCAAAATATCAATGTATGGTGATCAGAAGATAAAGTGCAAATTGTATACACAGTTAAGCAAAGATTACAGTATACCATCATACACTGTCACACTTCTGGACACAACATTTGTGTACACAAGTGACTATTTAGAATACTGGTATGTATGCATACCAGTATTAAATGGTAATTGGCCTTAATAGTCAGCCATTGTCTGAGGTCATCATTGCCCTCTCTTGACATTTCTTATTCAATCAATTCTCCTTTTGTTTCTTTTTATCACATCAGACCTGTTTTCTAAGCAGCCACAAAAATTCCATAAAGACCATTGTCACCAACAAAGAGGTTGTGTAGTTTTAGATGGAATCTTAAAAGTATTCCAAGAAAATTCCTCTCAAGTTCCATTTAGTGCCATTAAGCTAGTGCAAATGATGTCATGACTTCCAGACTATGTCCAAGGGGTAAATCCAACACTGTTTCTGAGTACAAAACAGGACATACAAATGGTAGCATGCCTAAGAACCATAAGAACAAATGTGCTTATGGTTTCTAGTTGTGAAAACAAATGGGATTTCATTAACACACTTATTTCCTCTGCTAAGAGTAAACTGGACTTTGGCCAACATATACAAATTGAGTATTTCCATTGAAAAGAACACTCAAAGTGTACACTGGAGCATTTGATTCATGCAGAATTCTTAGATCTGACCAAATGAAGTTCATTTTTGAAAACCTGTTACTTATTATCCTTTTCTCCTGTTAAAAACTAAGGGTCATACATTGCTGCAGAAAATGACCCTACAGATAGGTTAAACGTATTTATCTCTGTTCAACATTCACAATCTCATTTAAATCAATATTACTACAGCTGAGATTAAAAGAGAATGATAGGCTAAGTCAAATATTTTACCAGCACAATATTACAATGCGTTAGAATCATGCTAGATACACTGAAGATATAAACATGACACTTCCAAGTCTCACAATGAGACACAACTGTGTCTCAACTGACACGATGAATTTCTTGATGGCTGTTAGTTGCTGCAGCATAACAGTTTCCCAAAGTTCAAGTCTCAAAAGTCTATTGAAAAAGAACCAGTCTGTATCCAAAAATGGCTTTTACACTCTTATAAAATGGCTAATTGCAGCAATTCTCTCTGCACTCCTATCCCCAAATAAAAGCAGAACTTGACTGGACACCGTTGGTTTTAGAAAGATACAAAATCAATAAACATTCATTAACAAATCTTTCTGAAATCTATTTAAGACAATTATCACTGGAAGACGGAAGAGTATTGAAAGCCAATGGACCTCTTTAAGTCGAAAAAATTAGCTTCTTTCCATTCTTTCTTTTTGGAAGCATTGTTGTAGAACAATAGAAAACATTATCCATTCACTGAAGCCATAGGCCCCAGATTTACTGATAGGCTGAAGGTTTACTTTAGCTGCTGAAGAATCACAGTGTTCAGTATATCTGATTCTTGTAGTGTCAGGCTTTCATCTGTAAGCTCCTTATGTGGAAATGTAGTCAGAAGAACAAAGTCAGTGTTAGCAAACAAAGGCCGAGACTGGATAATAAAGTTCCGAATATCTACAATCCTGTTGGCAAGAACATAGTAATTTATGTTTTAGTCATTGGATCAATGAAATACTTTATGTACTAAAAATGTCTGCTTTTTGCTCTGAATAACGACAATTATCTTTAGCTGACAAGAAGTGATGATAATATTGAAGCAAGATCAAAAATAAAGGAGGGACTGTAAAGCTTACCTGTGTGTTCGATTAAACCTCTGTATTAAACGACTTCCATCTGCTAGCCTTATTTGAATTTTAGTAGTTGGCACAGAGTCATCTACCAAAACAGCACCATCAGCAAAGGATTTCTCCTCTTCTTCTGGAGAGGAAGGTGTACTAACAATCTCAGGAGTAAGGCTAAAACAAAATAAAAAATGCTAAGTGAAATGGTGATAGACAGGTGAAAGGGCAATACTGAGAACAATTATGTATAGAAGATTTATCCTTCTAAAACATTATGTAACAGAAAACTAACACTGAATTTTCTTGTTTTACATTTGCCTTCATATTTGAAAGATGAAAAGCAAGAGCTTCACTACCTTAGAGATTGAACCTGTGTCATTTTAAATTAATGTTTTAATAATTTAATGTTTTAATTGCAACTGTTATTTATGAATCTCTTTGATGGCATCAAATGGTTGCCTGTTGTAAGCTGTCTTGAGTCCCCCCTCAGGGGTGAGAAGGACGGGATACAAATATGCGAAATAAATAAATGAATAAATAAACTTCTCAGAAAGGGGAAATTTTTGAGGAGCGGAGTCCCATGGATCTAGCTTCAGAGACTGAAGGCAACTATCCATGGTTTATTCTGTATGACTAATCTGAAACCAGCCCAAAAGCCACAGTTTCTGTGGATACATTGCCATGTGGTAGGCAAAAAAACTTTATATGAATAGGATCCATTTGCACTAGATTTTTGCTATTAAAAAGAAATGCACATGGTTATGTTTACTTCAGTTAATAAATATGGGAAAGATACAAAAGTACTGCAATGTGAAAAGGAAGAAATAGTGACATTTGACAGTTACCAGGCACATGTATGTTTTTTTCATACTTGGCTTCCCAGCTTTTGACATTCAATTAACTTCACCTTTATGGAGTAACAAATTAGAAAGGCGTGCTCTTTCATTATAATTGTGCTCTAGAGTCCAATCTAACAAAATAAATCCAGTTCTGTAAAGCAGTGTGAAAGGTTTACTATAGAAGGAATAATTCAAGAAGATTCAGCAACTGTTGTTTTATATTGGTTTAATTGTTTTTTTAAAAAAAAACTCTGCTTTTAAACCGTTTTGATATTTACTATTTATTGATTTCATTATTTTATGGTTTATGGTTTTATTATTTTTAGTGATTTTTTTAATGGTTTCATTATTTTAGTGGGTTTTGTGTTGTTATTAGATGCTTTAAGCATTTTGTTTAGTGGATAGGTATAATAAATAGTCTTCAGTAAAGAAAGCCTGGGCCTGTTTAAATGTCCAACTTAGACTCCCAAACAACACTGTCTCTCCCTATACACACAACTGAGAGTAATTCCCATTGAATTAAGTGGGATTAACCTCTGATTGCTACCCTATTTATTTATTTTCAAATATTACAATACTTTCAGTTAAGGAGCAAATATCCTTAAAGTTAGGGCAGGTGACTTCGTGCTTTCCAAGTTCTTCAGACTAAAACTTCTAAACTAAGGGAGACAATAAGCATCAAACTGCCTAAGATGTAGATGACCTACAGGATAGTGGTATGCTCTAACTTACTCTCTATTTCTAGATTGCCAAAGTAATAAAAATTAAATAATGATCTTTTGAAAATTTGAAGATTACTTTTAAAAAACAACCTTCCAAGTTTTTGTCCTTCTCCACTGAAAGCTTTGAATCTCAGCCTAGGCCTTACGTATTCTTGCTCTTGATGGTCTTCCATATCCAAATTAATTTGCCCTCCATGAACCAATCTTTGGAGTTCTGCAGGAATCTCTCTTAATAACAGAAACAACAACAACAACAAAGTAATTTTAGGCAGAGAAGAGAAAGCTGAACAATAACGGAACTGAAGTGCAAGAACAAAGATGTATTCACTCACAAGTAATATATATGGAGGACCTCTCCAGAAAACCTGGCCTACATGTAAAAGCTTTAAATGCCACTCAATAACTTGATTCAAGTATCAGGTTTTAATAAGCATGTTTATTTGGTACATAATATTAATAATAAACAGAAGAGTAAGCTGATCTAGTGTTGCTGTAGGGCGACCCAGCAGAATACCATGTCTCGCAATGATGCAGATTAGTTGTCCAACAGAACCAAACAGAATATAGTCATGCTGTTCAGTTCCCAGTGTAGGTCATTCCCCAAGACAACCCAAAGCTGACTCTATTCCATAATAAAGATTGAAACCATACTGAAATACACCCACAAACAAAATAGATGTGTATACCAAATAACAGTGATTTTTACTTATACATTTACAAGTTAGTCTACCACAATGGTCTGAACTGTTTGTAGAATGGGATGTGCCATGATTTCTCTGAAAATGTATGGAAGAACTATTAATAATAATAATAATAATAATAATAATAATAATAATAATAGTACTAATAATTTATACCCCACTTTTTCTCTCCAAAAAAGAGACTCAAAGAGGCTTGCAGTAAAACCAATACAATTTAAAACCCTGAAAAACATACAGACATTAAAATAGAATTAAATATTAACAATATTTTTTAAAAACCCAATTAAAACTCTTAAAACTGATTAAAAACTTATTCCTGACTAAAACCACAGCACTTCTTGACTTTATCTTAAAAACCTCATTCTTTAATAGTCTGCTGTCAGAAGGACAGCAGGGAGGGGCCATTCTGGCTTCCCTGGGCAGGGAGTTCCATACACCATCTCTGTCTTTCCCATGGACCAGAGGCAGGTGAACAGCTCCGCTGTCTGTCACAAATAAGAATTATTAGATTGAATCCTTAATAGGAATATTTCTTCTGATGTAGTAAATAACTATGCGATTGAAATTATCTTGAGTCTTCATCTCCTGAAATAGATGTTGATCTTCTATTAATTTTCAGGTAATTAACCATTGTGTTCTGGGTTTAACTTGAAAGAGCATTGTCTTTGACTAATGCAAACAGAGGTAATTTCCCTTAGAATTAATCCAGTTTCTGGTCTGCAAATGTTGACAGATGTAAACATTTCTTTTATCACTGTCACAGTTATTATCACAGCTTACTTTTTCAGTTCTCATTAGACGCTTTTAATTACAGTTCCTTAAGCAGGTAGTAAATGATTTAGTCATTGCAGGCCTTAATCTTTTAGAATGGTTATTCCAAAATTATTAGCTCTCATTCACTCATTTCTTTCATTCAATTCCATTCATACCCACACAAATCAAATCTACATTTATTAAATCTGCACATTATTTTTTATCGTGACACATTCAAGGATTTTTCAACACCAACTCACCAAATTCCCAAAATTATTTCAAATCAGTTCAATTTTACACCATTTTGAAGGGCATAGTGTGTAGTTAAGGAAGCTAAAGTCAATAATAAAACCCCTGCTTTCTATACTCCAGCCTGAATCTGCTGTACAAACTGTATGAAATCTGGATTATTTCTTTGATTATCAACTGTATCTATTATAATTCAATTTTAATGTCTGTATATTTCTAGGTTTGAATTGTATTGTATTGGTTTTATTGTGAGCTGCTTTGAGTCTCTTTATAGAAAGAAAATAATAATACAAAAATCAGAATAAAATAATCTGGTAAACAGTGAAAATGGGTTTTTGGAGTAAAAATAATAGATGCCTACCCTCTTTTAACAGACTCGAGAAACTCAGCATTTACTGGGTCTGTGTAAGATCTCAACTCTCCATCATCTAAGCTGAAACCATTCCTCCACAGTTTGAGCAAGATTTGAACCTGTGGTAAACAAGACATATTTAAAAATTTGTTCAAAAGAATAAATCAGACAACATATAATAAATTTAAATTTAAAAAGTAACATTTTTTAACAATAATTACATACACCTGCAAATACTCTCCATTACTATAATAGATAAACCACATTTAGTGGTCCAAGAAGAGATTGAAATTAACATACAAATAGTGTCCCTTTCCACTTTTGCTCTCCAAATGAGCAACCTCTCCACGTAAACAGGAGGCTCTTCTCTTCAGACTGATAATCTCCACCTGGAGAGTGCAGATGGGCAACCCATCTCTCTTTTTAATGTATGGATTTTTAAATCTCTTTAAAATATCTGAACATGTTTACAATCTAAACTAATTTTGTGCCATCTCTATCTGGGCCCATCTTCACAGGCCAAATGTGTCAGTGAAGGGGTGAATGGGTCTTATGGAGTACACACGATACATGGGATCCATTCACTTCAATACAATCTCGTCTTTGGCTTAAAAAATTAGCGGGATGTTCTGAAGCTTTCCTGAAGCTGGCTTGCACTTTGTGGTACTGTGAACAGTTGGGGGATTTCCTATTCAAAAGTGGCCATGGCTGTTTACATAACCATCCCTGAGCTCAAGCAGCCAGGGACAGGCGATAGCACTTAACCTTTTCTCTGTCAATCTGGCTTTTGTGTCATGCCACTTGTTGTGTGTGGTGACAGAAGCCACAGCAAAAAAGCCATTGGAGAAGGGAGAGGGAAAGAAGGGAGCAATTCCTCTTTTCCCCCTCCACTCTCTTGTGTCAGTTTGTCACTCCAGTTACAGTCACTACATGTGATGAGCAATGGCCACTACCAGTTTTCTGCCCAGTGGTTGCTCCTAAGTCCAGAAAGACAGGGGGAAGGTAAAAGTGGCAGTTCAATGATGCTGAACGAGATCTAGCATTGCTGGGCTATGCGAGCAACATCTAGCTACCAGCCACTTCAGTGCTACACAGTATGAATACTACGAGACACTGAGGCTGCCTTGCTGATTTCGCCAGTGCAGATCTGGAGTACCCCTTTACAGTTCAGCATAACTATATATATGGCCTTTATGTCATCTAAATTTTATCGAAAGACATAATAGTCCAATATAGCTTCACTGGGAATGCTTATGTATGAATCTGTACTGTCCATATGGGGCATAAATTAACAAAGAAGAGAAGAGGGTGGCACTTGCAAGTGTGTAACTGTGTGCCTTAGTGTTACCTTGTATGCAATATGACTGCTACTGAATGGCACAATGATGACGAAACATGGCAAGATGTCAATGGAGCTAACTCTTTTTGCTCATTTATGACTTTTTATTTTATGGCAATTTATTTTCATTTCTTTATTTCTATAAAGATTTATATACTGTGTCTTTCTAAATTGCAGTAATACTCATGACCAGCTATAACCTGAAATCATAATGCATTATTTAAAAAAATACAAAAGAAGCCTATAAAATAATTATCAATTGTCTTCAAAGTGCCATTTTTGGAGGTGTTCCATAGGAAACCTCTACATGATGAACAACTCATCTTTATGGAAATTAACAGGGGAAAAGCCAATTGACATGCTGCTTCCCCCAAATACTTCTCTTTATGAAATCAATGTATTTAAAAACCACAATGCTTGCATTTTGTAAATATTAAATAAATTGGAGATTTTCTTAAGTGACAGCTCCTATTACAAATAATCAACTTGATCTTACTTACATCCTGCCCAAACTGGCTTTCTCCATAAATATATTCAGAGCGCTTCCATGTAGAGTCTCCCAATCTGTATCCACCACCAGAAAATGACTAATAAAATATGTATAACATACATATTACAAAGTAGCAATGACTACTTATATTTCTTTAAAATAAACTAATTATAAATTACATAGAGAAGGTCAAAACTTTTCAGTCTATTTGTTAACTTCACTGTAGGCAATAAAGTCAAGTTTCAGGATTAGCAAGTTAATTAAGTAAACAAATCCCCAAAACATACACTTTGTAGATTTCAAATAACATGGTTGCTAGGGGGAAATTGCCAAACCCTAAATAAAAAATAAAAATAAATGTCAATTGGTTTCACTTTAACTTGATTAATGGCCCTTCTACACAGCCCTATATCTCAGAATATTAATGCAGGAAAACCCACATTTTCTGCTTTGAACTGTGGACTCCGATATCCCAATTCAAAGCAGATATTGTGGGATTTTCTACGTTGATATTCTAGGATATAGGGCTATGTGGAAGGGCCCTAAATAATAACTATAGAAAAAGTGGTTATTTGAGAATGCTATTATTATGGTTAATGACATTTGAACTGAGCTGAATTTGAACTTTAAATTCAGAATTATAACAAACTATAGATGTTGGTGATGAATAAACTAGAATCTGACTGCAGTATCAAGTCAATTTGCAAAATATATTTGGGCATGATGGCCACTTTGGCATACCATTGATGCTTCTCCTTTGAAAATCTGGATTCTAATTTACAGGAATCAAATAAAACATACAACTCCACAGTCAGAGACAGCTGCTATCAAACACTGATTAATATGAACCTACAAAGTAGTCCCTTTTTTATAATATAAGATTATTAGAGCTCAGGAACAATTTCCAAAATCCCACAGGGATCAGATCTCCTGGCCATGTAGGTAAGTGGAATCTTAGAGCTATTATCCAAAACAAAGCACATTTTCTAAGTTCTGATTACCCATCATACTTTTTATACAAAATAAAGGTGTAAAGTAATGTAATGCAATGTAATCAATTATTGTCTTCCACATTTCCAGGCAAAGGGATATTAATTCTTGCCAATTGCAATTTACAAAAAAAATCTTAAAACTAAGGACTGTATAATTATTTGTGTATCCCTTTGCATTCGGAAATTCAGCATGGTTTCTAGAAAACATATTCAAGTACCATTGTTAACAGTCAGAGATCAAATACTATCTCTTAAAATAAAGCATTTTGTATTAAAATTACTACATTCTTCTGATAAAAATGAAGTCACGTACGCACTTTAGCTTTATAACAATCTCCTGAGGCTCTTGATACTTCATTTAAAGGGACTGCCCCATGTTCTCTTGCTTCTTTGAAAAGCTCATCAACAATTTTACTGGAAGTCATATTACTAGATGGCCCATCAGTTCTACAATCTGAATCACCTAGGTAAAATCTTTTTAAAAAGAAAAATATATATAATTGGTCAAAGTTTTAAAGAAACTTTCAGACAGAACTAAATTTCAATTGAAATGCTGTTATAAGACTAAAACCAAGTGATTCTATGGTTAAAAACTACAAATTTAGATCTAAATCCAATCATAAACCGGCATTGTAATGCCAACATTATGAACCGTACTTTCATTTCCCCCTGCATCTTTCAGAGCTCTCTGAAAACCAGTTCTTGGGGGAGGGGGGGGGGGTTCTCAGCCCTCTAAAGTAGGTTTTAGGGTATACTGTATCACTGGCCCATCTCATTTTGCTCGATTTCTACCAGGTGGCACCAAGTACTGGAGCCTGCTCATGCTTCTCTAACTCCCTGAATTTTCTAACTTTTTACAGAAAAAAACAGGCTACATCCAAGTGGAAGAGTTCCTCACATCATGGAGCTCCCTACCATTCCATCCTACTGCAACCCTCTGCAATGCCACAAAACTGTTCTTACTGACAGAACCTTAGGAGCAGCATGTGGAATGGGGGAATTGTTCAAAAATTAGGAAGATCAGCAAAAAGGTTACTGTGAGAATTTACCATTACCAAGATGCAAGATGAAACATAGATACTGTGCATGCCATACAGATGTGATTTTGACTTATTTGATTCTGAGTTCAAAATTTAAAACCAAAATACTGAGTAAAGAAGGAATTATACTGATTGCTCCAAAAAAGATGCTACTGTAAATGAACTTCCTATCTGAGATTTAAAAAAAAATAGAGAATAGAGAATAAAAACTGCACAATCCATTCTATTAGTATAGAATGTTACCAATACACCCCAACAGCAACCCAGAATCATACTATATTTATATAGGAATTATAATGATGGCAGTAATCAATGTAAATTATGTGTAAAAGTTAAGAAATGAAATGTAAACACAATACAATGCATTAGTATTAAATAGCAATTAAAGCAATTATTATACCTTTGGTTGTTCTTGTCATCACTCATACTTCTTTCAGGTTTTTTCAAACTTCTGAAGAAGCCAACCAGGAAAAATATATTTAAAATTCATTTATTGTATATTAAAATACACAGGAAAGAACATTGTGCCATTTAAATTTTTTGTATAGCTTGCACAACTTGTTGCAAATCCAAGGGTGAAGACTTTAGATATGATAATATCACGTAAGTGCCATACAAATATCTATCTCTACAGCAAACAGGTTAATCATAATGACCCACTTTTTCTTCCAGCAGAGATTCTTAATTAAAAAACAAGTCACACAGTGAAATCCCACATATGCTTATTTGAAAACAATTTCCACTGTGTTCAGTGGGATTCGTTCTTTACATATAAAAATGTAAAGTGATATACATGTAAGTATGCATATCACTTTACATTTTTATACTGAATTTTTAAAATTTCAAATGCTTTCTTCGCATTTGAGGTTTAAAGGATTTATGAAAAATAATTTCAGGTAATGTACATAATTTCATAAACAATTAACAAAAACACTGTTACCTTTGAATGGGTAATCTTGGATGACTGGCTACTCTAGTTGTTGATTTTTCAGAATGAAGTGGTTGTCTTTTCATTTCATCTTCATACAGTCCAGCCAATGCCAGCTATGAAGAATGTGAGATACTTTAGGCAATACGTTCTAGCCAAAGAAACACAAGTTATATTTAAATGATACATTACAGGGGGAAAATTATGGCCAGCTCAGATAGAAACATATGCTGCCATCTGTGACCATCTATGGGTATGACGGCTTCATTGTATCAAAATGTCATGTTGAAGAAATAGCTATTTCTCAAGTCTTTAACAATGTCTTTGTATGTGTGTGTTTGTGTACACACACACAAACTTAAACTTGAGGATCTTGTATAGTTCCATCATTAATGGCCTTACATGTCCTAGGGCACAACTGAACTGATCACCTAGCTTGAAGAGCTAGTGAATTAGCTCTGTGAATGGAGCTAGTTCGGGTTAATGCAGACCAAAGCTGTTGCAGCTTAAAACATGCTAATCAAAGTCACGGGTTGCTCTGAATTCTCCATCAGAATCTGAAACCAGAACTTTGGGCCCAAGTAAACACTTGCTGCCAGTTCTGAGATGGAACTGGCCACAACAGTTTACACAGCCATCCTTTATTCCCCAGGCTTGTATGGTCTGGGGTCACAAGATGGTACTCACCATCCACCTCCTGTCCTTCTCCACCACGGCTGCCAGCGAGCTTGACATGGGTCATGTCAGTTTTCATCACCTGGAATCACGCTGGCTGGAGCAATGGGCAACTGGAGAAGGAAGGCAGAAAGGAGGGGGTGATTCCTCTCTCCCTTCATTGTTGCTCTGACGCCCTGTCCAACATCACTTCAGGCGATGAGTGACCACTACAGTCCATGTTGTGCCTACTGGCCATCACAAGAAACAGTTTGGGAGTGGGTGGTAATGGTGGCTGTTAGTCAGGACTACTTCCTGCCTCCTCAGTGGTGTTAGTGGTCTAAACCATTTTGGGGTAATTTGGTGTTTGCTACTCCAAATTGACCCCAGGATAAATGGTCAGTGTAGAACTGCCACAAGTCTTATTTACTGACCACAGTTTTTATAATTTATTTTAAAGATATGAAAATAATCTGTAGTAATTATTTTTGTTTCTTAATGTTCAGTTGTAACTTTGCCTTTGAACCTTCTTCATTCATTTTCATCAAAAGTTGTTCCAAGTTAAAATGCTATAGCAATTCTATTAAAAGTGATTAATAGTTTCTCACAATCTACAAAATCAGAGGCTTTGCAATACTCTATAAAGCACAACCTAATTATCTTTTGAAATTATTTGGTTTGCTCCATTATCCAACATATATTTGCAGTACAATCTTAGTACTCTTCCTTTTCTGGACCCAGCTTGGATGCCTGTCTTTTCGCTCTCCGTTTCACTGAATTGCATTAACAGAATATTAAGATGGAATATTAATATTCAAAGGTATCTATAGAAGTGATTCCCAAATCCAGAGTCTTAGATGTTGCTGAACCACAACTCCTTGAAACTCTACCCAACATGAATAAAAGAACGATGATATAATAATAATAATAATAATAATAATAATAATAATAATGAGGAGGAGGAGGAGGAGGAGGGTATATCTACATTTGGAAAACATCAGTCAAAATCAGGGAAAATTTATCATCTCTATAGGCATCTGATTCACAAACCCAGCTATCATGAAGGCAAGATTTTGTGGCAAAAGTTTTGTGAGTTTTGTCATCTTGACTCCGCAATGATAGCACAAACTATTCCAATCTCATTGTTTAAAAAGTGCATAACTATATACATTCATGTTTTGTTTTGTCACATTTTGCCTTCCATGTTGTCCTATACTGAGTGGTGCATGTGGGCAAGATAAATATCTTATATCATAGGATATTAGAGAAATAAAACTGCGTGCTGAGCAGTTTATATTATGGGTTATATTGGCATCATTACAACTCACTTAAACCAAGAGAAAAAAAAATCCACAAGAGACCCAGATCAAATAAAATGCTGCTATTTCTAACCCACAAACACTATAACTTGGCAATCTTTTGCTAAATGTTCAAGGCTTTATTGCAAGTGATTTTCCTGATAAGTAAAATACATTTAGACAGAGTTTACAAATAGGGAACTAGCTGCCATCTACACAGCATGGTGTTTTCTGATTAAAGTAGAAACCATTATACAAAGGGACATTTATTTTCTTACAAATAGTTCTTGTGGGTTTTTTTGGGCTATATGGCCATGTTCTAGAGGCATTTCTCCTGACGTTTCTCACTTTCTTATTATTCTTATAATTTATAATTTATAATTATAAATTATTCTTACAAATAATTTGTTAAAGCTACAAAATTGTAGAATATACACACAAAACATATTTCATAGTCTGAGATGCTGAGTAAGAAAATACATCACCAGAGTTTTATAAACTCTGATTTCTAGAAGAAACTCCTTCCTTGCTTCCAATATTTCTGTGTCATAAAAGATAAGAAAGCATACAGTGGGTCCTTGGTATGCACTGGAGTTTGTCCCAGGACTCTTTGCGGATACCAAAATCAATGGATGCTCACACTATATACAGAGGCTTAGTAAAATAATGTTCCTTATATCAAATGCCAAATGTCTGTCATTTGGAGACACACACACACACACACAGGCAGTACAGTTACAAACATCTGACATACAAAGGATTCATATTTAAGAACAGGGAGAGAAAACAGGAAATGAGAGAAATCTACCTATAGGAAGGGAAAATCATTCCTGGAAGAATTATCATGGGGAAAAGATGTCTCAGCTGAAGCGTTCTCACCAATCCTTGTTTCCACAAAAAGCCAATTTTTTCAAAATCCAATTATTACAGGGATAGAAAGTGAGGTGAAATCTTCTGAGTTATACTTTAAAAAAATACATTTTCCGACTTACAAACGAATTCAGCTTGAGAACAAACTATCAGAACCTATCTTGTCAGTAACATGGGGACTGCTTGTATATATAGGTGATTGAATCCGTAGCTACAGAATCCATGAATAAGGGGTTCAGATTATTTTTAACAAGTAAACAAAAAAAAACACACCCAGTAATCATTTAAAAAATTAATCAAATGGTGAGCGTAGAAGTAACATTGCGGAGCAGCTTCTCTATCTGTCAATATCACCTTACTTGGAGCCCTACACAATAGAAGTGAAAGTACTTTCTGTACCTATACATAGGAATACACTGTCACAGCAATTTCATCCTTTTAATGAGCAGCTCTTATCCTGAATTCTAAAAAACCCCAAATATTCGAAAACCTCAAACTATCCACTGAGATAGTGGCTGAGATAGTGACAACTTTTCCCCTGATGATTCCACGTACACTTTATTACATGCACAAAATTATTAAAATATTGGATACTGTTCCATTATCCAGGCAGAGGTCACTAGGAGATGCTACAAAGAGAAGGATGGTCCATTTTACAGTGAGGGAGTTGATGAAAACCATTCCCCCCATTTTTGCTGCTTATTGAATAGTTGCCTACGTGTAAAGCCATCTTGAGTCCCCTCGAGAAGGTGGGATAAATATGGTAAATAAATACATAAATATTTCCACTTCTCATATCATAAATGAGAGTTTCTTCCACGACGGGGACATGGGTGGTGGTGGTGGTGGGGTGAATAACAGGAAAATAGGGGGAAATGATTTTATTCCTTCATCCTCTACCCCCACAACATTCCCATAAAACGGACCATCCATCTCTCTTTAGTGCCCCCTAGTGGCTTCCACCCAGATAATGGAATAGTACCAAATACTGCATATGAAATTATCTTCAAAGGATGTGTATATGAAACAAACATAATAAAAATAAACTGTATTTCTTTCTCGCCTCTCTTCATAGCTGGAGGCAGGGTACAACACAATAAAAATACATAGATAATAGCATAAGACCATGAAAGCACATATATTAAAAGACACAGAACTATGATTAAAACACATTAAAATCATCCATACCAGGCCAGGGCAAACTTTGGCCCCCCAGGTGTTTTGGACTCAACTCCCACAGCAGGTATGCTGTTAGGAATTGTGGGATTTGAAGTCCAAAACACCCGGAGGGCTGAAGTTTGCCCAGGCCTGATCCATACCAATAAAAGGCAAGTTTACATTGTGCTGTCAAAGGCTTTCATGGCCGGAATCACTGGGTTGCTGTGAGTTTTCTGGGTTGTGCTTCTGGAACCTGGCCATGCAGCCCGGAAAACTCACAGCAACTACGTTTACATTCATAGGTTGAAACTGACTGGATAAACGTGGAGTATGTTTCCAAAAGGTACCCTCACAAAAAACAGAAAAGAAAAATGAGGTGGTAGCACATTGATGGCTTGGAGTAGAATATGGTGTTATACATATTACACATATAAAAGTTATTAAAATGCATTAAATCATTTAGGTACAGAGTTTGGAAAAAATGTTTGCTATAGCGTAAGAATATGTCAGACGTTTTTAAAAATTCCTGTAAAAAGTGTACATTTTATCTTTTAGAAATAAACTCCACAAACGGGTTTGGTGTTGAAGCCCTTTCATTATGTATAAAGAAGTATTCCAAACTGAAAGAGGAAAAATCCGAGATCATGGCCCCTTCCACAAAGCTGAGTAAAATCCCAAATTATTTATTTATTTAGTAGTTTTATATACCGGTCTTCTCACCTCCGTTCGAGGGACTCAGGCCGGTTTCCAACATCAATATTACAGACAGTTATTAAAACATCATATTCTAAATCACACTAAAACATTAAAATAGCAAAATACAATCATAATCATAATTACAGTGGTCAGTCGTCATCAAAAATCATTATTCGTCGTCATCCATCCATATCACAGGATCATGGCTCATTCGTTGAATGCCAATCCCCAAAGCCAAGTTTTCACCTGTTTCCTGAATGTTAAGATAGAAGGGGCAGTTCTGATCTCCAGTGGAAGGGAGTTCCAGAGTCGAGGGGCCACCACCGAGAAGGCCCTGTCTCTCGTCCCCACCAGCCACGCCTGTGAGGCGGTGGGATCGAGAGCAGGGCCCCTCCAGACGATCTTAGCAATCTTGATGGTTCGTAGGGGAGGATACGTTCGGACAGGTAAATTGGGCCGGAGTCGTTTAGGGCTTTATAGGTTAAGACCAGCACTTTGAATTGTGCTCGGAAGCTGACTGGCAGCCAATTATCTGCTTTATTTATTTATTTATGACATTTATATGCCGCCCTTCTCACCCCGAAGGTCAGAGCGGCTTACAAGTAAAATACAATACAATAAATAAAATAAATACAATATCTGTTTGGACCCCTCTCTTTACACTAGTCTCAGAGCAGCAGTTGGTGTTGGGGGGAGGGGCTCCCAACTGACACCGAAGACAAGATGACAACCCTAAAATCCCAAATTATCTGCTTTGAATTGGAATATATGGTAGTGTGGACTCAGATATCCCAGTTCAAAGCAGGTATTGTGAGATTTTCTGCCTTGATATTCTGAGTTATATGGCTGAGTGGAAGGGCCCTGCTTCCATGCATTTCTGATAAGGGATGCTCAATCTGCATTTAAAAAAATAACTCTCCGTATAGCCATGGCTTCCCTGCACTGGGAACGCATTCCTTCCAAGACTGACGTGACAAAAGTGTCGTCATCATCAGGGGCACGTTTGCTTCCCATTTGGGCGGAGAAAAGACCTCTAAATCTGTCTGAGCCAAAGAGGAAGGGAGTCATGGGCTTGGCCCACTCTTCCGAACCACCCCAAGGCATCAGGGCTCGGGTTTCTTCTGTAATTCAGGAGGAGGAAGGAGGCGAGAGGGGGCGAGGCCCTTGGGCCGCACACACACTGCCTTCCCTACCTGCAGATCTCGGACGGTGGGCGGGCGGCCGCTTCCTCGGGGCCCTTTCTCCCGCCTCCCTCCTCTGGTGCCCGCTGCTGCAGCCGCCTCCGGCTCCCTTTTTTCCTTCTCCTCCTCCTCCTCCTCCTCCTCCTCGTCTTCCTCCTGAGGCCGCTCGGCGAGTGTCCCATCGTCCGCCATCTTCGAGCTGGGCGAGTGCCAACTGCCAAATCCAGAGAGAGGAGCACGCGGGAGGGCGGTTGGGCAGGCGCGCGCCCGCCCGCTCGCTCGCTGAGGAGTTCTTCCGGCAGCGAGGGTTGCTATCGCGACCGGCTCGCAGGTGCAAGGCCCACGTCGGTTCCGCTGGTCCCCAAAGCCTCCTCGCTCGAGTTTCTTGCCTGTCTTCTCGGGCCCTCCCTCCGCCCCGCCCACTAGCACCTGTTTGCGCGTGCGCCGTTCCCATTGGCTGGCCCGGCCGTCACTCTGGGTTGACAGGACTCCGAAGGGAGGCGGGCCCAATGTGCGTTATCCTTTCAGTTCATGCCTGTCACAGGTTGAGCAGCCCTCACACCGAAATTTTGAGAGTGTTTGGGGCCCCATCTACACTGCCATATAATGCAGTTTGGAACTGCATTATATGGCAGTGTAGATGGGGCTCCCAGTAACTTCTGGTCCCAAGCATATCGGTGTGAACTTGGCAGAGAAAGCAAAAGACCTTGTAAAACTACAACTCCCACGATCCCATAGCATTGAACCGTGGCAGTTAAAGGAGTGCCAAACTGCATTCATCCAATTGTGCAGATACACCTTTTCTGATTCGTATATAATTGACTCTCAGGCTGGATCTGTCATGTAAAACAATTCCAGAATGCAGATTAACTGCATTGAACTGGATTTTATGGCAATGTAGACTGTTAAAATCCAGAATACAGTTAATTTGGATTCTGAAACTGCATTATTTGGCTGTGTAGATGGAGCCAAAGTTAACCAGCACCCATGGGAATTGGTACATGCTGGATAAATCTAGTTTCTGGTTGCCTGAGAGTTATTAAAAATGGATGTAACTAATACTATGCCATATCTAAACTCTGTATTGACTTGATATTCATACTGAAATACAGCAACAGCAAATAATGAAAAATAAAGACTAATTTAATATAATGGGTTTATGCTTGACTTAATGAATGGTTATGTTACATTGTTTATGTTGTTTTTGTTAGCTGCTTTGGGTCCATCCGGAAAAAAAAAACCTGCATATAAATTCCAGAAATAATATAATATAATACAATTTAACAATAAATACATGTCCTTTAATTTTATTTAAAGTATTATTTATTTGAATTTTTTGCTGGTTGCTTGAGTTCCGGTTAACCGAGAGTCCACAAAAGCTTACATTCATTAAATATGTTAGCCACTAGAATCAAAGAGTAGAAAGATACAGTCAACGCAGTACTAACAAATGGCCATCCAGCCTCTGCTTAAAAATCTCCAGAAAATTGGACTCTGCCACCCTATAAGGCAGCACATTCCACTGCCAAACAGCTCTTAACTTCAGGATGTATCGAACGAATCTCCCCTTATGAACCTGCAAGGACTTTAAGATTGTCTGGAGAGGCCCTGCTCTCGGTCCCGCCATCATCACAAGTACGGTTGGCAGGAACGAGAGACAGGCCTTCTCAGTGGTGGCCCCTTGGCTATGGAACGCCCTTCCTAGGGAGATTAGATCTGCTTCCTCGCTCCTATCATTCCGGAAGAATCTTAAGACATGGCTATTTGAGCGGGCATTTGAAAATATGGAGTAACAGATATAATAATGGAATAACTATATGGACATTGTTTTAATGATTATCGATTGAAGTATGTGTCATTATAATGTTTGATTTTATTGTTGCTGATGTATTTTATATTGTATGTTGTAATTGTGTCCTTGGCGGCATTGAATTCTTGCCTTGTAAACCGCCTCAAGTTGCCAGAAGGCTGAGAGGGGCAGTACTAAATAAATAAATAAATAAATAAATAAATAAATAAAATACTTCCTAATCTTTCTTGGACTATTTATTTATTTACCTTGGGAAGCCAGACTTGGCCACGGTGGTCCACACTCTTGCTACATCCAAGATAGAATACTCCAACGCACTCTATGTGGGGTTGCCTTTCAATAATAATAATAAATAAAAAACTTTATTTATATCTCACCACCATCTCCCCAAGGGGACTCGGGGCGGCTTACATTTGAAGACTGCTCAGAAGCTTCAAATAGTCCAACGAGAGGCAGCCAAGTCAATAACTGGGGCTGCATACAAGGAGCATACAACTCCCATGTTGCCCCAGCTCTACTGGCTGCCAGTTTGCTACTGGGCACAATTCCAAGTGTGGGCCTTGGCCTATAAAGCTCTAAATGGCCCCAGCCCAATTTACCTGTCCGAATGCATCTCCCCCTATGAACCATCACAGAGATCCTCCATCCTGCCATTGTCACAAACGTGATTGGTGGGGACAAGAGAGAGGGCCTTCTTGGTGATTGCCCCCCCCCCCAGCCCGGGTGGTGAGATAAAATAGGCCCCCTCCCTCCTGTCCTTCAGAAGGATGGTAAAAACTTGGCTGTGGGACCAAGCTTTTGGGACAATGCAATAAAACAGTGATAGGAAACCTTTCCAGGCCATTTATTTATTTATTACTATATTTGTATATCGCCCTTCTCAGCCTTTTGGGCGACTCAGGGCAGTTAGATTAGACACAGATTATCAAGACTTTTAAACAGTGTATTTTAATATTGATTTTAATATTATTTTGTATTTAATTAATGTATTTAATATTGATAAAATGTTTTTAATGTTTATGTATGCATATAATGAATTCATGTCCTTGGCATTGAATGTTTGCCTATATATACTGTGCTCTGCCCTGAGTCCGCTTCGGGATGAGAAGGGCAAAATATAAATGTTTTAAATAAATAAAATAAATTTATTTATTTACTGTATTTCCCCCCGCTCTATCTCAACCCTGAAGTGGCTTCCAAATTGGCAATAATTCAAATCCACATTAACATAAGACAAACAAAATACAATACACCTTGTGCGTTAAAGCATGAAAATAATAAAACGCTAACATATAAATATACAAATAAGCTGTTAAAAGATTACACATAGACTAAAAACCATAATCCAGAAGCCGTTCCAATCACATAGCCCTGTGTTACTCTCCAAATGCTTGGTTCCATAGCCAGGTTTTAACTTGTTTTCTAAAGGATAGGAGGGAGGGGGCTGATCTAATTTCACTGGGGAGTTTCACAGCCGAGGGGCCACCACTGAGAAGGCCCGGTCCCTTGCTCCCATCAGCTGCCCCAGTGTAAAAGGTAAGACTGAGAACAGGCCCACCCCCCAAAAGATCTTAGCACCCGGGATGGTTTATAGGGGGGATGAATTCGGGCAGGTGAGCTGGGCCAGAACCATTTAAAATCCAGCACTTTGAATTGTGTTCAGTAACAAATTGGCAGCAAGAAGAGTTGACGCAGCATAGGTGTTGTACGTACACTACACGCCACTCCGATGAGCAGTCTGGCTGCTGCGCAGTGGACTACTTGAAGCTTCTGAACAGTCTTCAAAGGCAACCCCTTGTAGAGTGCGTTGCAGTAATCTAATTGAGATGTAACAAGAGTGTGGACAACTCTTGTTAGTCTGGCTTCTCAAGGGACAGGCGCAGCTGGCGCACAAGTTTTAATATCGCAAAAGCTCCCCTGGCCACCGTCAAGACCTGAGGTTCCAGGCTCAGTGATGAATCCAGGAGTACTCCCAAGCTGAGAACCTGTGTCTTCAGGGGGAGTGCAATCCTGTCCAGCACAGGTTGGACCCCTATACCCTGTTTGGCCATTCAACTGACCAGAAGTACCTCTGTCTTGTTTGGCTTCAATTTCAGTTTTTGAAATATAACAATTAATTTACTCCCTATATGCCAAAATTTATTGTTATTGAAAAGAGAAAAGGCTTTCCTCCTCTTTATAGGATGCACATAAAATGTATTTAGAAGACTTTGTTAAAAACAAGCCTTTGGAGAGACATTCTTCACCACTAGGTGGTGGTGAAGTAACACTTAATACTCACTAAATGTATTAATTTTGCTTTTTCCTTTTTTTCTGTAATGTATTGAAAATCACAACAGCTGTTTTACAAACCTTATTCATGGTACACTAAATTGCAGTTCAATAGTAAAGTTGTTATTCAAAGCTGGTAGCCTGCTATTTTTGACATCTAAATTTGTTATACGCATTTTGTAGAAATACGTTTTAATATATGTATATATAATGTTTATGATGATTATGTGTTTTTAGCTGTTTTATAACCTGCCTTGAGCAACAAGGAGAGGCGGAAAAGAAATAAATGATGATGATGATGATGATGATGATGATGATGATGATGATTGGAGGCAAAAAAAAAAGACTACAGTTGTCCTTCAACATTTGCAGTTTTGCCATTTGTGGATTTGATTGCTCACAGATAATAACAATAACAACACCTTATCTATATTCCGCATATACAGAGACACAAGGCAAACATTCGATGCCTCAGAACAATGAAACACAGACACAGATAAAGGTAAAGGCTCTGGGGGGTGGTGCTCATCTCCATTTCTAAGCTGAAGAGCTGGCGTTGTTGGTAGATACCTCTTAGGTCATGTGGCTGGCATGACTGCATGGAGTGATGTTTACCTTCCTGCTGAGATGGTACCTATTGATCTACTCACATTTGCATGTTCTTGAACTGCTAGGTTGACAGGAGCTGGGGCTAACAGTGAGAGTTCACCCCGTCCTGCGGATTCGAGCCACCAACTTTCCGGTCAGTAAGTTCAGCAGTACAATGGTTTAGAGTACATTCTTAGTTAATGGACTAGATGTGTTTCAGGGCTTTACTTCTCTAACTTTACACCACGAAGAAAGAAAAGTAGGTCAACTAGTTTCAGGGGACTTTTTAAAAAATCTAAAACTAATATTATATTCATGTAAAATTAAACAACCAGGTTAGGTAAGCCTTGCATAAACAAACAAACAAACATATTTTGAACCTTCTAGAGACCATTTTAAAGCTTCTTCCAAAATGTACCCAGGGATTACTTTTTTTCTTTCAACAGCTTCCACCTTTCTTACTATTTCTTACTATTTCTAAAATGTATACAGGGTTCTAAACTAAGATAGTGTGTGCACTCTAGTTTCTTTCTTCTTCTATAATATGTATGTCTTTAGATTTCCTACCCACAACCAAACAGGTTTTTCTCCTCCTAACTGATCAGCAGGCCTATTTTACTTACCACCCAACACCCATAGCCCTTTGCTAGGCAAATCTGGGGCTGATGGAAACTGCAGCTGTGGGGCCAATGGGAACTGAAGCTGGTCAGATGTTGGGCTGATGGGAGTTGCTGCTTAATAAAA